ACATCTTCATCATTTCTCCGTTTGCGCTTCGTTTCCAAATATTTCATCTCTGCAGAAAAAAACATTTTAAACTAAAACCAACAAGAAAACATTTTATAAAAATCACATCAATAATAAAAACAAAAAGAATAAAGGTCATTTCAATCAAATAAATATAAAAATAAAGATTTTTTTTCCTTTCGGTTTATAAAATGAAACGAGCTGCTTTCATCCTGCGCAGGTTTCTTTCAGCTTCTAAAGATATAAAAAAAAGAAACAGAATAAACGTTTCTTTTTCTGTTTTAAAAATAACCTCCAATTTGCTCTGCTGCCGTAAAATAACATTTTATTTTTGTTTCACTGTTTGCAGCAACTGTTGATTCCGTTGATAACATTTGGATTTAAAAAGCCGCGATTGCTTCTGATACCTTCTACTTGCCATTATATATATATATATATATATATATATATATATATATATATATATATATATATATATATATATATATATATATATATATATATATAATCGTTTTCTTTTTGCAAACATAAGTATATATTTAACCTTTTTTATTTCGAGCTTTAAATGTTTCTCTGTATATTGTATATGAATATAGCCTATAGCCTATTTGTATATATATATATATATATATATATATATATATATATATATATATATATATATATAAATCGTTTTATTTTTGCAAACGTAAATATATATTTAACCTTTTCTAATTCAAGCTCCTGTATTTAATTGATGAATAAGGAACTTTTTGCTATTTCTTCCTGTATAATGAATATCAAATATTGATGTTTAAAAGCCTCATTTATTAAAAACAATTATTTCTTTTATGCAGTAAAAGTGAAAAAACTGCCCAGTAGTTACTGCAACATTTGGGATCAGTAAAGTATTTATGAATTGGATTTTAAATTGAATGAACAATTGTAATAATAATATTTCAAGTCAGAAAAACTATGCAGACCGTTTCTAACCTAAATCTGATTTAATATTTAATTAATCTCTAAGTTAGAATCAGTTTCCTTTTTAACTCATAGAGAAAAGGAAAAATCTATTGTTTGATTAAAAAGGGATCTAATGAACATAATGCACATCTTTAATTCTTTTTTCATTTCTTTTTCTTTGCTTCAGGATTGAGGTTAATTAGATAAATCTTTAACCTCTGAGTTTAATAGTTTATTCCGTGATGTTGGTGTTGCTGAGTGAAGCTGAATGGAAGCAGCCAGTAAACATGGACGTCCTCAGCCTCCTCCATCACTGTGCAGGAATTTTATCCCCTGTTTGAAGCTGAAACTGCTGGACAGCTGGCCTCACACTGGATGACAGGCATTGAGGTTACAGCTCCATGCTATATGGTTAAAAGCCCACTGCCTCACTCCTCCACCACCGTGCTTCTATAGAGCCAACCATCTTCAGTCCTTAAGTAAATTTTCCCTTTAAATATTCCCTTTAATTATAAATGTATTAAATCTACCTTTGATCATATCTTCATGTTGACATTTCATTACTGCTGACTCCATTAAAGTCCCTGTAAATCAAATAAAACGGCGTGCAGCTCTGAGCAGCTGTGGATTATTCCTCCCAGGGCTGTTGGAGGCCTTCTGATCAGGCAGGTTTGGGATCATCCAACTGAAATGCTTTTCTAGAAGGCTGATGCTCATATCTGAAGAACAACTTATTGGATTCATTCGTAGACAAGCTTTCATTCCCTTCAGACATCAGCTGCGTTCATAGAACCTTCGCCATATTTTTAACCGTTCTGTTTGCATGCTGACCTGGTTTTGATGCTGATGCGAGGTAAAAATGGTTCCTCTGAGGAGGCTAATCTTGGGCCTCAGCCTCCATGAAGCAGGAGACAATAGAGAAGCGGCTCAGAATGAGACCTACTGACCCTGGACCAGCTGAAGAGCCTGATGGATGCAGGGAAAAGACCAAATCATCTAATTTACATATTTAAGGAGCTGAAGGTTGTTGACCTCTGGCATCAGTGAAGATCTCTGAAAGGCTGGATGCTCCTTTAGCACATAGTCTGCTCCGCCCTCCTCACTGGATCTTCTCTTTTTCAGTCTATCATTTTATTTTCTAAATAATGTAACCGCTTTTGGCATTTCCTTAATCACATTTAACACAATTGTTTTATGTCCTACCCTGCTAACATGAAATAATTGCATTAAAGTAACTAAACATGATTAAGGAAATGACAAAAATGGTTGCATTAGTTTTTCAGTGTACATTCTGATTGTTTTTTTTTTTTTGCTTTCAGTCATCAGGAAAACCTTTATTATTAGAAAAAAAAAGGTCAAACTGAGAGCTGGAGGAGATCCTGACCATGACTTTGGCTGGTCAGAGCAACACCACAGACTCCGTGTGTGTGTGTGGGGTAATGAACAGATACAAGGGAGTTTTTCCTCTCCACTGTTGCTACAAGCATGCTTAGTGTGAGGGATTGCTTAGTAGTCAATGAGTCGATGCAATCAGCTGGTTTTCCTTAGATAGAAAACTTTGAATCAATCTGACTGGATGATCTGGTGAACTGTGCCTTGAGAAGACATGATGTGAATTGGCGCTATAGAAATAAACTGAATTGATCCAGGAAGGGAAAGGATGAAGGAAAGACAGCAGTGAGTGAATCTGAACTGGTTTCTGCTTCAGCAGCATCACCACTGAACATCAGCTCCATGCTGCACATAAAACCAAACACTCCAAATGCTGTCTGAGATCGGCAGCTCACTGGTTTCTGTGCAGAGCAAAGATCATCAGGGCAGCTTAGAGTCAAACACATCTAGGAAGAGATTCTATAAACCACCGGTTTTATTGGTTTCTGCTATTAGTATTGATGATGATTCATCATCTGAAGGTCGTTGTTCTGGAACTTTCCGTGTCTGTGCAGAAAAACGCTCCAACTGAAAGACAATTCAAAGAAGCCACATTTTATCCTGCAGATGGAGATTCTTCCTCATAATTTAACTGTTAAACATTTAGATCAGGGGTCACTAACACGGTGCCTGGGGGCCATCGGGAACCATATGGGGGCCCTCAGCTTCTTCTGAAACATTATTTTATTCTGCTGCTCTTCTATTTAATCATTTATAGATAAATTCATCATTTTAATCACAGACAGCATTTAAGCATTTTAAATGACATTATCTAAAAGAAACAATGAAAATATGTTAAATATGCAGGAAGTTTAGGTGAACGCTGACTCCTCCATTCATACACCAGTATTGGTAGCCATTTCTAGTACTCAGTAGCCATAAAGTAGCCCTCAGACTTAAAAAGGTCGCCGACTCCAGATTTAGATTTTGATCAATGACTGGATGCAATCAGATAGAAACTTAAACCAGTCTGAATGAATAGTCTCTGTAAAGCGCCTCCAGATGACAGGTCGGCACTGTAGAAACAAACTGGACAGAATTACTGTAAATATAGATCTCATGGGAGCACTGAAGCAAAGAATAATTGGCCGTTATGAAAAATGGACAAGTAGCTGCTTAAATGTTTCTTTCAGGAGTAATAAATGAGACCAAATAAAAGACTTTAGGAGGTTTGGACTATTTAGAAACTATGGCCCCACATAGATTAGGTTAGGTTTAATCCCAGAGGTGTTCTACTGTTTAAGCTGCTCATTCAAACGGATCCGTTGCTTTGTCAGAAGCATAAATTGGCCTTTATGAGTAACTGACACTGATTGTATGTCAACCATCAGATAACTGACCTGGAACCGATGGCCCGTGTATGAGCCCACGCTGGCATACGGTGGGACATTTTGAGCATGCTAACTGTTCTATGTTGACATGTTTCAGCGTGCTCATCTATTATACAAAACGTACCCATAACTTCTCCAACGTATTTCAGCATTTTTGCCAGATTTTTCATATGTCAGGCAAACGCTGGTCTAAATCATCAAGGTGTGACAGCAGCTTGAATGTGAGCCATGTTTACATGGCCTGAACTGTCTGCAAGGGTTTGGGTTTAATGCTGTAGCGTTGTGACAGCGCCACCAAAGGGCCTGGCATATGTACTACAGCGTCTTTTTCGGTGGAGTGACGACGCAACTTTGTCTTCATGTGGTCAATGCAACACTCACTTTAATCCACTTCCAGTCTGCGTATACAGCTAAGGATCTACAAGCTAAAGCTAATTCTGCACATATGTTCATATAACCCACACTCTACTGCCATCTGGTGGCCATAGTTATACCAAGTTATGACAAAATTTCCTAATTTAAAAAACTCCCATTATGAATGATTAAATAAAAATAAGCACAGCTTCTAATTAAGAACAAAATCCTTAAATGTAAAGGTTTAGGCTTAGTGAGGGGTTATAAAAACTGCAGAACTGAATATCAACTGTAAAGCTGAAGGGAAAAGCAGCTGAATCAACCAGCAGAACCATCAGAGGGTCCAAAGGTATCAGGCAGGAGAAGGCTGGATGGCAGGAAGTCCATCCTGGCTGAATTTAAGCAGAAACAAGACGGAGACATGGGAAGAAAAATACAGACAAGCGCTGAAGGCTGAACTACCTGGACATCATTCCAGAAGGTATGTTTTTATCAGGTTTGGCATATTTACAGACGGACAGAATAATTGTTTAAAAAACTCCGATCAGGAAAGAATCTGTTTAACCTTGGATTTAAATTCCAGCACATTTCTGAACATTAACAAGAAATTACAAATCAGACATTGCTAGGTTTGGCTTCAGCAGAAAAATAAAATACTGAGGATGTCCAACAGCCTGATGGGTACCGAGCCTCAGGTTCTTCTACCGGCGCAGATGAACAGGAACTGACCTCAGATCGTCCCACTGACCCACCAGATAGCAGGACTTCTTCAGCAGAACTTCTAAAAAAGGAAAAACCTGAAGGGTTGAAAGACGGGAAGTATTTGGCGGTTTACTCCCGGCGGTGCTGGAACCACTGGGGCATTCATACTGGAATATTTAGAGTCAACCATCAGAACCAGTACAAGGTCCAGTTCATCCTAATGGGAGGGGGGGTTTATCTGGAAATGAAACCATCTTTATTCATGTTTGATGCACCGTCTTCCTATTGGCTGGATTCCTTATGGCTTCGTCTCATTAAGACACATTTTTATTAAACAACCAGAAACAGGAACCGACATTCAAACACATTTAGAATCAGAACCAGAATCAGAACCAGAATCAGAACCAGAACCAACAGTTTTTAAAGCAAATTAAGATGAAAGCTGTGGTTTGTGGGCAGAAACAGACTCCAACAAATTCTGGTTGTTTTAAAGTGAACAAAGATGCTGGTTGGGACGCCTTTGAGCAGAACGCTGGTTCTGGTTCCAGTTTGGAATCAATTCTGCACCAAACAGCGTCTGACCAGGAACCGGTCCAGTTCTGATATCGGTGCTGTGATAAGGCGTCCCGGTCTGATCTCCACCCCCTTTTAATGACTTTTGAAAGTTTGCCAACGGTCAGTTACTGTGATGATCCAATCCTCTCTGATGATCTAAAGTGTGTGTGTGTGTGTGTGTGTGTGGGGGGGGGGGCGTCCAGATAAAGGACACCTCAGCATCATACTGCCGCCACCGGACGCTCTGGCAGATCATCATCAGCGCAGCCTCTGAGCATCTTTGAAGGAGGAAAACTGGCTGAGCATAAATCAAACTGTTAAACTGAACAGAATCACCGTCTTTACATGTCTGAGATCAACGTAGAGCCAAAACCAACAGATCCACCTCAGACTGACAGCTCTGAGGGTGGACTCATGGTCAAACGTGTTTTCGTTTTCAGGAGTTCAGCGGGAGGAGCTTCAGTCGTCGTCCTCGTCACTGTCCCTCATGCTGATGCCCTGCAGGCCGTCGCCTCCCTTCACCGCCGCCGTGGCCTCCTCCATCCTCAGCCGCTTGGACACGGTCTCGTAGCTGTTGTTGTTGAGCGTGGCGTCCAGCACGCCCTGCAGCCTGAAGTCCCGGTACGTCTTCTGATGAGGAACGAGGAGGGGAGATGGGTAAATAAAGAAGAGAGCATGTGAGGAATGTAGAAAGCAGAAAGAGGCAGCTGCTATTCACCGCCTGAAAGGACAAAAGCTGGAAGATGGAGGCTGAAGGACGCTGGGAGGCTTTTCGTGTCAAAGCTGGAAGGCAGACTGAAGTGTTTCAGGGATTTTTACTTTCATTATCATTCCTCGTCTCTTTGGTTTCTACTTAAACTAACAAACTATGAAAAAGACAAAAAGCGTTTGAGCAGTTTTGGCTTTAATCTCTCGCAGCTCTGCAGCGGCTGCTTTCAAGGACGTCGCGCTGCAGTTTCATTTGCGTAATTTCTTTCTTCCTGCCTTCATTGTCAGCTCTGACTTTTTCCATGAATCCCCCCCATCATACTGCAGGCTAATATTAAAAGAACTGAGCTTTTTTAACCCTTTAAAGCCCGATCCAAGAATAAAACAAAACAGAAAATTACAGTTTTTTGGTTTGAATTCCTTATTTGGCCTTTTAACAAAATATGTAAAAAGAAAAAACAGAAATAGATTTTTGATATTAATAATTTATTACTATGCGATAAGACAAGATTATTTTTTGTGTAGTCTTCTACTGGCTGTTATCAGGTATATCTGATTGTGTACAATAGGATTTTGAGCAAAGTTTTTACCATTAAATTATGCAAAAGGTGTCAGATGCAAAACATTTCAGAAACCGTATGTATCAAATATGATACATTTGGCATTACAGGGTTAAAAAGCAGCTCCTCTGTGAGTCCTGAGGTTTGCTGTTAATGCTGCTGTTTTATACTGCAGCTGTTTAAACATCTGGATAAGCTTCTTCACTTCATACAGTTAAAATATCTATTTTAATCTTTAAATTAATTAATTTTAAATGACATTTAACTATTGATAATTTTAAATGTATTTTTCATAATAATAATATATGTTATTTCTAATGCATTTTACAATCTATAAGTGCTACAGGTTAAACCATCATAAAAAGGTAAAAGCAAAAAATTTAACACAGAGTACATGTCAGACTTAATAATATTACTTTAGCGATAGTTTGAAGGTGTTGCTTTATTGTATATCTCGTACCATGTCTTTCGGTTGTGCTGTTCTTTTTACATCTAGTTACAGGTGATGAAGCAGACTGAAAATGTTTTGTCATTGTCTCCTTTCTCTTCTTTCTTTCATCTTTTCTCTTTTTTTCCCTTTCTTCTTCTGTTTTTCTGTTCTACTTACATTGCAGTGTCCATATGAACTGTAAAACTCCCTGCATAATTATAATAAAGCAATTTATATGCATGAAACAAGTGGAGCAGTATGGCAATTGCCATACCGCTACACTTGTGAAAGTAAAATCTGTTGGGCTCTTTTTGGCATCAAGACAATTTTTTTTATTGCCACATTGCCAGACAGGACACTGTAAAAAAAAAAAAAAAAAAAAAAAAGCAAAAAATTTAAAACTAAACATCATTGTAAAGAACATATGAAGAAATAAGTCAGTGGCCTAATTATAAAGCTTAACAGTCGTAAGTTCTAATAAAGTTATAATAATATTATCAGCGTTCTGATGGCATTTTAGTGACAGGATTTTTATCAGAAACATAATTAATGTGCACAAATAAGGAATAGTTGCATTAACCATACATGGAAACAGAGTTTTATGGGGCCCGAGGAACTTGAAGCCCTATGAACCTAATATTTATCAAATGGTTTACCTGCTGAAATTAAAGGTAAATACACTACATTTTTCTACATCGTTTTTGCAGTGCGCCCCCCCAGATGTGGGATCATCGTCACACAGGAACCTAAAACTGCTTCCAGGTTTGTTGCCTTTAGGGAACATTTTCACCAGCCTGACCTTCTAAGACGCAGGATCTCACTGAAACTTTCATTTCAGTTCCTGTTTAGAAAATCAGCCTAAAGTTTGGTTGATTTCTGTCTCTGATGGAGGAACTTTCAGCTCAGTTAATCAACAACACGATCAGTGCTTGATCTCAGCAGAATCAGGCTGAAGGTGTCTGAAATAATCCACTTTCTGATGTTTTAATTTATAAACAAGATGATTTGAACTGATGAAAACAGATAAAGGAATCAGAGCTGGTTAAATGAAGGAGATAGAAACCCGGTTTAAACTCTGGGAGCTGATCCTTCATCTGCTTCATTGTTCAGATTTCTTTCAATCAGATAAAACTCTGGTTCCATTTAAACTCTTCAGCCTTTTAGAAAAGCTTGGAAATGTTTAAATGCAGACAATCTGTATATTTAATGCAGGGAGCGTTACAGACGCCTTCAGCTCATACACTCATCTAAACGTTTCCCTTTTATGGAAAAGATGATCTGAATCAGTTTGCATTCATTTCCAGGACTTCGTTTACCTTCACTATCTTGATGAGGACTTTGAGCTGGTAAACATGGAGCTGCAGGTCCAGCCTGTCGGTCAGCCAGACGCACACGGCCCTCATGGAGCTGGAATACCACTGCTGTAAGACGCAGAGAGCTTATTGAGAGCAGGAAGCAGGGCTGGAGTCCCAGCGTTCCCAGAACATCACATCCATTAAAAAAAATAGAAATCTAAATAAGTAATTTTCTCTTAAAATCAGTGCATTTTTTATTGAATTGAGGAGGGAAGCGAGACACTTGAGAAACAACACAATTTACATTTAAAATAAGAAAAAAACTATTACTTTGTCTTATTTCAAGTGTACATTATCTAATTATCTAATTTTAAGAGTAAAAATACTAATTCCATGGGCAGATCATCTTATTTACCTGCTCAAATTAACACTTAATTTAAGAAATATGGTCTTAATTCTGGATGGTTTTTGCAGTGCATGAGCTGTGAAGAAAGCTAAGATGTTATGGAGATAATCCTTTAGAGCAAAGAATCATAGAGGAAATTGGAACTGAGCAGAAATGGAAACATTAGAGCGTTTAACCGATTGTGCATCATGAGGATGCAGCTGCAGCAGCTCAGCTCATCAAGGACGGAGTAATATGGAAGAAAAACAGTCTCATGGAATCTGCCTTTTTTTGTACACCGAATTTTAAACACTGAATTTTTTTTACACATTGAATTCCTCACACTGTATTTATATAATGGTAAAAATTCAGCTGCAAAATATCCAGCTGTAAAAAAATCAGCAGCAATCAGTGTGTCCGTGGCGTACTGGTTAGTGCGCCACGGGACCACTAGTGTTGTAAAGAGAGAAAAAAAAATCAGCAGCAAAAAAATTAGGATGCAAGTGTGTTGACCTTTTGGTGAACTCAAGCCAAAGCAATCAGCACTCAAAGCAGCCGAGCAGCTCCTAGCCAACAGGGTTCCCACGGGTCCTTAAAAAGTCTTAAAAGGCATTGAATTCTTCAAAATAAAACTAAGGCCTTAATTGGTATTAAAATGTCTTAAATCAGTCTTTCCTAGGTCTTAATTTTTAAAACATCATGAATACGATTATTTTTATCACGATTTATTTTTGTAATCTAAATAAAACGAATTGACGATTTTTTCTTTTTTTTTTTATAAAAAAAAAATAACAGCTCGCCATTATTGGTTCCGTCCCGATAGCGGAACCAATAAAAGCGTTGTTGCGGCCGGCACATTTGGGAGATGCGCCATTAACTTTTTGTCTGGAAAATATGAGCAAGTGTAAATGTAACCAAAATTGTCTCCAGCCAAGAGTTTTCTCCATGGCTAAAACCAGGGGACATACATGAGGCTCAGTGGATTTTGTGCAAGAAGCGATTCAAGCTGGGAACGATGGGAATTAAGGCAGTGTAGTCACATGCGAAGCACGAAACACAAATCGTCAAAATCGAATTACCGAGAAACAGCCGGTATTTCTCGGTTTAGTTCCACCCTTGTCTCTGCAACGCCTCCACTTATCACCAAATCAAGCATACTAAGAAAAAGATACAAAGAAAAATAATTGCAAAAAAGATTTAGCACTGGTTATGTTGTGGCTTTAAAACTGATTTGTTTTGTTCCCTGCTAAAACAAAGTTTGTGAATTCAGTTAAATTATTGTTCAAATATATCTGTCATTTGTGTGTTTTTAGCTTTCTTCCTGTATGGGAAATTTTTCAAAATTTATGTTAAAGTTTATATTAAAATAAACCTTTGGGTTAAGTTGTCACAAGCGTTTTTTTCTTGTGTTTCTTGTAAATTTGGTCTTACATTTTTATTTCAAGTGGCATTAAAAAGTCTTAAAAAGTCTTGAATTTAACTTGCCTTATGCTGTAGGAACCCTGAGCCAATGAAATGAGCTCATTTGGTCACGTGACGCAACAGTTGGGCATAGCTGAATGAGGAGTTTTTCCTGTTAAATAAATATGATTACAAAAAGTCAGGTAGCTACTAATAGACAGCCATCAGAGTTTTCCCTCTAATGTGACTGGGTGAAATAACTGAGCCGATCACAGCTAGTGCAGCACCCCCGTAAGCCAAGACTTTTGGTTTGATCCGGAAGAAGCGGCAAACGTCCTTTTTTTCCTGACAAAATTAGCTAATTTCATTGGCTAGAAGCTGCTCAGCTGAATCGACTATAGATTGCTTTGGCCGACACATTTGCAGCTAATAAACAGATAAAAATTCAGTGTAAGGAATTCAATGTGTAAAAATATTCAGTGTTTAAAATTCGGTGTACAGAAAAGGCAGATTTCAACGAGACTGTTTTACTTCCATAGAGTACGCCTTCACCCTCAGTCACTGGCTGCCATCCTGGACCTTCCCACAATCCAGGACCCACATTGAAACACAAAATCTGCTGCAGATCTGCTGGCGTACTCCGTCACACTCCATTCTTATCAGCCAATATCTGCCGCAGATCTGCTGCAAAGACCTGCAAACACCTGCCGACCTTGTGTTTGGGTGTAGGTGCAGGACTGTGCAGGATGCATCACACGAAGCATCACGCAGGAAAAGCAAACAGAGGGGAAAGTGTTGAGTTCCTGAAAGGCGGGAGTTTAATGAAAAGTGGTGAAAGCAGCACGTTCAGGGAAGAGTTCAGGGCTCTTCAAAAAGACAGAGGAGAAAATCAGGCCCCAGCATTTATTTAAAGCATTCAAATCAGTGGCTTCATTCAGACACCAGCCCAATGAAAGGAAGCAGAGCGAAATCACTGCGACACATTAATGACCCACAATATTCAGATCTGCTTTGCAATCCAGATGGACCAATCTGAATAATATTACTAAACTCATATTGACAAGATATATAATTACCTTCCAATTTAAGAGAACAAAAAAAACACCCATAGTTCATTTTATGCACTTGACAAAAGTCACAGCGTGTCCCTGATCGTTCAAGGGCTTGATAATATTCAATCCCCGTAGAGTCTGAGCAACCTCAGATCTCCTTCATCAAACCTCCTAATTATTCTCCGAGCAAAGCGCTTTTCTCTCCGTCTAAACAGCAGGAAACATTCGCCAACTCCAATGGAAGTTCAAGTTCAATAACAGCCTCTAAATCCGTGTATCATTCGTTCTTTCTATTTTCAATTGTCAATCAAAAAACAAAAAATAAAAAATTGACTGGTTATTTTGTTTTTTGTTTTTTATGGTTAAACCAAAAACGAAAAAAGGATTTGTTTTTCATATATCAATTCTAAGCTCAGATCTAGAATACGAAATGGAAAAACGGACAGCAACGCAGAGTTTGATTTTAATATTTAATCGGTACAGTTTACGTGACCCGGAAGTTTGGTGGAGCTTTAGCTAAAAAAAACAATTGGCTTACCCCCATAGATATCCATAATAAAGGCTTTATTATGGATATCTATGCTTACCCCCACCACGTTCGATCAAGCTGCACCAGATAAGGCAGTCGGACCTATCAGCCATGGACAGTTACGGTCGAGGATCCAAGCGTGTGACTCTTAAGGAGGAGGACATGACAACGGAGAAAATCAGCAGGATTTTCCAGGTATAACTTTTTTCTTGAAACTTTTCTGTGCACTGTACTTTTAACTAGCAACAACAAACAGCGTTCTAGCGTCGCCATGGTAGCCACTTCATCACCCCACTGCCTCGCAAAGAGCTATTTCCGGGTCACGTAAACTGTACCGATTAAATATTAAAATCAAATTCTGCGTTTTTCCATTTCGTATTCTTGATCTGAGCTTAGAATTGATATATGAAAAACAAATCCTTTTTTCGTTTTTGGTTTAACCATAAAAAACAAAAAACAAAATAACCAGTCAATTTTTTATTTTTTGTTTTTTGATTGACAATTGAAAATAGAAAGAACGAATGATACACGGATTCCTCTAAATGCCTTTCTTTGCCTCCATAATGATTTATGACTCTTGCTTTTTTTAAAGTCAGCTCTGAGAACCTTCAGACCAGCAACACCTTTCAAAAGCTTTTCTGACTCCAAACTTTGCTTTTAAATTGTTTAAGCTCAAATAAGCTGTAAAAACCAAAGACTTCTGGTCAGAATGACAAGAAATAAAAACAAAAATGACTGATTTGGGTCGTTAATTATGTTCATATAATTATTTTACGTTTTTTAACCTGATCAATTTGAAAAAAGGGTTTAAATAAGCAAAATAAAGGTGAACATGGAGACAGAAGCGTGTTTACACACTGGAATGATTACGTCCCAAAACTGCAATGGATCCACGATTGGCTGAAACATTAAACTATTTGTAAAATTATATTTTTTGATGTAAAAACAGTAAAAATATTGCAATTTTTTATAAATGTCATGGCAGCATTTTCCTACAGCTGCTGCTGAATATTTTCTCGATAATTTAATACAATCAATAATTCAATAAAAGTGGGAAAGAACTATGGGAAGTATGGGAAAGAAGGTAATTGGTGAGAAGAAGCATTAATCCATGAAGCTTTTTGGTCGATGTGTTGCTAAGGCTACGTTCACCAAGCAGCCTTAAGTCACCAAAATCCGATTTTCTGGCCCATATACAGCCTGGATCCGATCTTTTCATGTCTGAACGACACAGATCCAATTCTTTCCATTGCGACCTAGAACACTTGGCTATGTGGTCATGAATCAGATACGAATCTGATGTTTTCGAATGCGACCTGCGTCTGAACGACCAGGTTGCATTCATTTGGCCTGAATGGCATTAATACATGACAAAAGTCACTATTCTGTGTCTTGCTATGCAGAAACGGGAAGAAAAACAACAACGATGCGGAGAGCAGTATATGGCCACTTCTCATCTCACAAGAATGCGAGTACGGACTCCAGTTCTTGCCGAGTATGTTCTTGAGAAGAACATTAGTTAGCCCTGGCTGCTGCAGACAGGCTAACGTTAGCCCTGGCTGCTGCAGACGGGCCTAACATTAGCCCTGGCTGCTGCACACGGGCTAACGTTAGCCCTGGCTGCTGCACACGGGCTAACGTTAGCCCTGGATGCTGCACACGGGCTAACGTTAGCCCTGGCTGCTGCATACGGGCTAACGTTAGCCCTGGCTGCTGCACACGGGCTAACGTTAGCCCTGGCTGCTGCAGACAGGCCTAACATTAGCCCTGGCTGCTGCACACGGGCTAACGTTAGCCCTGGCTGCTGCACACGGGCTAACGTTAGCCCTGGCTGCTGCACACGGGCTAACGTTAGCCCTGGCTGCTGCATACGGACTAACGTTAGCCCTGGCTGCTGCAGACGGGCTAACGTTAGCCCTGGCTGCTGCAGAGGGGCCTAACGTTAGCCCTGGCTGCTGCAGACGGGCTAACGTTAGCCCTGGCTGCTGCAGACGGGTCTAACGTTAGCCCTGGCTGCTGCATACAGGGCTAACGTTAGCCCTGGCTGCTGCAGATGGGCCTAACGTTAGCCCTGGCTGCTGCAGACGGGCCTAACGTTAGCCCTGGCTGCTGCAGACGGGCTAACGTTAGCCCTGGCTGCTGCACACGGGCCTAACGTTAGCCCTGGCTGCTACAGACGGGCTAACGGTCAGCCCTGGCTGCTGCACACGGGCTAACGGTCAGCCCTGGCTGCTGGAAAATCTTTAAAGTGAGCATGTGTGAAACAGACTTATGTATTTTATTTAACCTTTACTTAACCAGGAAAAAAAATCACGTTGAGATTAAAAACCTCTTTTTCAAGGGAGTCGTGACCAAGAGGCAGCAAAGTTACATAAGATACATTAAAATAAATTACAGGTACATAAAAAATAAAAAAAACATATAAAGTAAAACAATTACAGATCGTTAAAGCTGCTTCAAATTCTTTCACTTTCAACCTAAAAGCATTTATTGATAAAAACTCAGTCAACTTCCAGTTTCTTTGTAAAATATTCCACTCAGAAGGAGATGCGTAGCTAAAGGCTTTCTTCCCCAGTTCTGTTTGGGCAAAAGTAACAGTGAGCAACAGCTGATGGTTGGATCTCAGGGCAGAAGAAGCCATGCTTTTCTGTGTAACTAAGGTACAAATGTAAGATTTATAAATTTGGATTTAAATGGAGTAGCACACCGTTAGCAGGACGACGCCTATCTGGGGGTTTCTCAGTCGAAATGACTGATTGATGCGTGTAATTTAAATAAACACTTTATTTGGAGAAACTGAACCGAAGTGAAAACCTCTTCATTATCAGAACAAACGAGCTGCAGAGGAGCTGTACATTGGACATACTGCTCCTCAGTGTGTGTGTGTGTGTGTGGGAACAAACTAAATCAACTCCTAATGTGTGCTGTGTGTTTATGCTGCACATCTTTCTGCATCCGTCGATCGTCACAAATTGTGTCTTCAAAGCAGAGAGGCTGCAAATGAATTTGATTGACTAACTGAGAGTCCCGTAAACAGTCCAAACACTCATGTTAGGGGGCCTGATTCTGCCGTTCAACACAATATTTACTTCTATTGTTGCACACATGGTGGGGGGGGGGGGTGAGTACGTGCTGGATTCATACTGAAGGACTTAGCTCAGACACTTGAAGGCCCCGCTGTCACCTCCTCCTCAGTGCATGACTGGGTGCTTCTGAGCTCCATTAGACTCATTCTCCTCCATCTCCCCTCCCCAACATCCAGACACACACACACCAATCAGCGCAGTGCACCTCCCAGCTCCCTCTGAACCCTCGGAGGAGGCGACGGGTGGCAGAAATCCATCGCTCTGCTCCGTGCTGCTAATGTGTAGCAAGTCCTGAACCGCCATGCCTAAATCACTGCGTCCTCTCCTGACGGCGAGGCGTGTTAGAAACTCACCGCTAGAATATTCTGCTAAATCTGAATGTTGGAGGTGGGAGCAGCCAGTGAAGGCAGCAGACGGCGTGGGGCGGAGGGGCGGTGGGATGAGGTGGGAAAGGGTTTTTGGCTCCAGCAGAGCGAGCCAAATGCTCTCAGTGTTCCTAAGTGATAAACAGGTCAATAGAAGCAGTGGCTGTTTTCAGCAGCACAGGGACCTCCTGCTGCTCTGGAAGTGGAGAATCAAAGAGGAAAAAACAGCCGCAGTCGAAGGCAGATCCAGAGTAAACACTGTATATGTCCAGAAAAACCTAAATATGATCAAATCATGCTGTTAGTCAGGTTTCCATGGGAGGGGGGCTGTATAAACCATGCTGGTAGCATTTCAGGACGTTTGGAGGAATGAGCAGAAAGCTCTTGGTATCATCTTCAATTCTTCCTAAATATTCACACCTACTGAAACAAATTATTCACAAAAACGCAGAGAATTGACTAGAACTGTGACAAATAACACAAAACTGTAAAGAGAAACAAATAAAGTCAGTTAAAAACGAGGCCGTCATCTGCATCAGTCCCCCTGCAGCCGCACAGAGATTCTCTGCAGAAAACCAGGGAAGAAGCAGCTTCAATGGAGGCTCAGGAACCCGCCAGATGGATCATGGAGGACGTTCTGGTTCCCTTTAAGGCTTGGAACCATCTGCAAGCTTTAAACACCTCCATGGTGGACATCCAGCAGAGCTACCAGGACATCAGACTCCCACCTAGGGATGACTCTGGAGGAGCTACAGAGCCTTTAAAGTCGTAGGGAAACGGCTGCTCCATCAATTGCCCGACTTTACACGAGGGAATAAAGTGAATGTGATTGGTCGATTATCAAGGGGGCGGGATTGTTGTGATGGAAGGTTCACAAAGATGTTTGGTTGAAGCCGGTTTATTGGAAGCATGTTGCTAACCAGTTAGCAACTTATTGCTAGTAGGATCCCAATGGGAAATTCCATTGGGACCAAGTAGCACTAAATTGGTGACTTAGAAACGACACTGTCAAGGAACGCTATGGACAGAGGAAACATGCAAGAGGAGGAGAGTTTAGTGTCGGAGGTCGTGGATGAGTCTCCTCCGTCATCCATTTTTTATTTAGAGGAGGAAAGCGGGGATGAAGATGTTGTGGAAGAGGACGCCAGGGCGGCAGAAGCTTGGTTTGGTGTAGAAGGCTTCCAGCCGTACATGTTTGAGCCCTTGCCTCGCAACGCTGCCAGTTCTGTTAGCTCTACGCCTGCTGAAGACACAGACGTCCATCCCCGTGAACACTGGGACGGAACTCAATGGGAAAGGAAATGATTCTGATTTCAACCGTTGCGTATATTAGCTGTGACATATGAATCAAGATGCTATGACCGAAAAAAATTGATTGACAGATGACCGTTGATATATAATTGGCCGAATTTAGGTGTTCAGGCTGACGTAGAACTAACTGGCCTGCAGAAGATAACGGAGAAAAACACAGATTGTAGGAGAGGATATTTTTTTTTAAACAGACATTTTTTAACCTTTGGGACAATATCGTCTGATAAAGAGCAAAATTTATATGCATGTTTAAGCCAGAATGATTTGACATTTATATATAATTTCCTTGCGATTTCAAGGACTGGTTGAAGGAGAAAGCCAGAAGAAGTCTTCTGACACAAGATGACTTGGAGGAGAACCTGTAGGAGGCTGCAGAGGACTGAGGTCCTCCTCCTCCTCATCACACACCCAGAGATATGATGGGATGGGTGGAATCAGAGGCCTATTCAGGTGTCAGAAGATCTAAGCTCATTTACTCCAGGAGGGACTTTGTTTCTCTGTGTCCCAGCCTGCAGCTAGTCTTCCAGCAGCAGAGCTTCCAGAGACGAGGAGAGCCGAGAGCACAGAGACAGACACACCTGAGCTCGTCCTCATCCATCCAGCTCCTCTGAAGGACGACCTTCAGCTCCACGTTCCTCCACCTGGAGAAGCTGCTTGGCTAAAGAGACTAGAAGATGTCCAGGTAAGACATCCGTCTCACATCATTCAGGGAGTTTTTCTCCAAGCCTCCGTTTTCCTGAGCTGAATTTTCCTTTTGCTCCAAAGTCATCAAGCAGACACTGTCTGCTAAGATGGAAGCTGGTGAAGAATGTGATTTTAACTAGACCTTATTACCATCAGAAGAAAGGAATCCTAGCTTTTGGTGTGATTCAAATCAAAACTATAAAGAAATGTAGAGGACAGGATGTACTAAACTTTGCATTATATCAGATTTGCTTCATTATCGATAAACTAATAAAGAAAACGAACTCGACAGGAAGTGAACTCACATCAAACACTTTTTCGATGCAGACTTCGTCGTTGATGCCGTCTCGAAGGATGTCCTGGTTCTGCCGAACAAAAACGATGTATGTGTCTGCCAGGTCCATCCCTGGTTTCTGAAGGGCAGAAAAACAACAACAACTTTACTTAAACCCAATCGAGGACTTCATGGCGATTGGAAATGAGTTCTGATATTTCTGCTGTAGCAGCATGATCGGGGGAAGCTGCCAGCACAGCTTTAGGCAGCACATGGTGGCTCTGCCCTGTCTTCAAACCTAAAACATGGCCGCCGACCGCATCGTTCCGGTCATAAGGCCGTCACAGCATCCTGTTAATGCCGATGGTTGAACTCTACAGGAGTGGGCTCAAACGGAGACGGTGCTCATTAACCTGCAGGCTGCAGCCAATTAATGCAGAAAAGACCAAAACAAGATGTAAAAGGTTCACACGACTGGAGAATCGGCCTGACTTTCAGTCTGATGGTGCGTGGTGTAGTGTACAGGGGGTAATGAGGGGCGATCAGCCTCCTCAGTAGGAATCGTAAGGTCAAACATGTTTGAAATTCAGTAGGCCGTTGTAAGGTGGTCGTGGGTAAATCGCTCAGTGGGCAAACAAGAATTCTTTTTCTTCTTCTTCCTCTCAGAGGAAACACAAAGAAATTGAGTTCTTTCTGTTAAATTTACAGACCGTAGTAGCGTCGTTTGCTCAGCCAGATCTTTGTCCAAATACGTTGTTGCCTTTTCTTTTTAGGGCTTTCAGCTGAGTCCCACGTGGTTTAGACGTACAGTGTGAGCAGGTAGATTTTGAACAGGAAGAAACCTCTTCAGCAATCCCTCACACTAAGCATGCTTGTAGTGACAGTGGAGAGGAAAAACTCCCTTTGAACAGGAAGAAACCTCCAGCAGAACCAGGCTCAGTGTTAGCGGCCATCTGCTGAGGCCCACTGGGGTTCAAGGAGACAGAAGCAGACATAGAAAAACAAGCATAGATACAAAAGGCAACTGTCAACCAGCTCCACAGGCGGCCCCGTCCAGGAAACACACAGCCAGGCAGACGAGCTCCGAGCCAGCTCCCATGTCAGAGGATGAAGAGAGCACATCCAGTTAGTCCCAGTCAGAGAAACAGGACTACACTGAAAAACAGGCCAAGCTCCAACATCTTGAAACAAAGGTGTTGATGGCAGCAGCACAGCTGATATTTCTCTCCAGGATGGAGTCACAGCCAAACAGGAACAGACCAGATGAAGCTACTATGAGAATGATGAAATAGGGGTCCCTATGTCCTCCAGCAGTCTAAGCCTATAGCAGCATAACTATAGAGATAGCTCAGGATAACCTGAGCCACTCTAACTAGAAGCTTTATCTACAGAAATAAAAACATTTTAGCAAAGAGCTTCTTTTCTTTTTTGAGTTTTTACGGCAGTAGTGGCTCGTTTTTTCAACAGTAGGCTGAGAGGAAAGGGGATATGAGAGAGAGGGAGAGACATAAGGGAAAGGACCACAGGCTGGATTCGAACCCGGGTCGCCTGCGTCAAGGACTAAGGCCTCCGTACATGGGTTGTGCACGCTAACCACTGTGCCACCTGCTCGCCCCAAAGAGCTTCTTTTCAGTTCAGTAAAATGAACAATTTGAACAGCAGGAGGAAGGGAAACCAGGCAGATGTCAGGTAGGCCGCGGCTCGTTGCTGGTTTTTCCCACAGGTTGTAGAACCGGCTCAGATTTCATTGTTTTACGCCATCAGAGTATCGTGGTTGCTGGGTTACCACCCGCTCATCTTTGCAATAGTTTCTCCAGCCTGTGGCTGTTGTCCAACTTGGTTTCCCTTTGGTCCTGGAGAACTTGTGTTCACATTGAAACTGCTCCTCCTGCAGGTTCGCTCCTCTGTGTACCTTCAAAATCTCCTGATGAGTATTCATGTATCAGTACACTGAGAAACAGATGGTAATCCCAAATACTGGAGTCAGCTTCACTGAAACTAACTGAGTTCAGACAGTTTGTGACTTTTTTCTGGGAGTTCAGGCCTGGATGCTCAGGTCTCACCATGCAAACAAACCCAATGGTGGAGCTCAGATTATGAAAATCAATGAAAGAAACTGGAAACTGTTTGAAATATGAATGAAATAAAGATGATATGTCTGCAGCAGGAAGTGGACCTCTCAGCCCCGCCCTGCTCCGCAGCTTGTTTTGTCCTGTGATCCCAAAGTGAGGCTGAACAGCAGTAATCCCCTCAGTGTGGGGATAAAGTATACCCAGGCAACATCTGACATACAAAGGAGCAAACATTCCTGTTCAATAAAGAAGGGCAGGGATAAAGCCGTGAAGTGGCAAGAGGAGGAAGAGCCCTTCTGATAATGACTAGTTTGCAGCGGTGAAAATATCTGGTAATTGCATAGCAGCACATGCACAGTTACCTCCTCTGCTCAGCTCATCTCTGCCAGGTGGATGTTGTGTTCATGTGTACAGGCCACTGCAGGTAGGCAGCTCTGTGGATTAAAACAGCGAGGCTCTACCACCAAAAGCTGCCACCGAAAACTGAGGAGTCATTCATAGACCAGGAGAACGAGGCCTGAAGAAGGATGATCTGGATGAGCTCCATTAAAGCTCAAAAAGGAGGCGGGATCTCCTTCCTCTGCAGGGACGGCCACCGAAACTCTGTCTGCAGTTAAAGGCCGTTAAGACCTACTAACTATAGAAAGGATTCATGGAGCATCAAGTTCTCCTCCTCAGAAAGAGGAGAAAGCTCTGCTGGTTTCCTCAGAGGTAAATAACCAGAAAATCAAAATTTTGTTTTTTCTCGAAGAATATTTTTGTAAATTATGGAATAAATTTGGTAACTAAAAAAGTTCAGCCTCATTCTTTGTAACAGAACCTAATGGCAGCATCAAGCTGCTATTTATTAGATCCATCAGATCTCCTGCAGTGATGGTTTGGGGCTGTTGCCCGGCAACACGGAGCTTCTACTTCCTGCACACATTTAAAGTCTAGAGTCTGGCCAGGCCTCTGCAGGATCTTCTAAGCATTTTCACAGAGACCCTCCTGGGGCGTTTGGGATCTGGAAGACCAAGCCACCCTCTCAATGATGGAAGGTGGTCTCATATCTCACCATATGAGACCTACCTCTTTCTTCCCTTAACATGGATCAGTCGTTCTGTCCCCTTTTCAGAAAAGCAGCCCCAAAGCATGATGCTTCCACCCCCATGCTTGGCAGTAGGTTTGGTGTTCTTGGGATTGGGAACTCAGCATTCTTCCTCCTCCAAACACAGTAACTCAGCAGTTGAGTTTGTTCCAAAAAGCCCATATTGGTTCCATCTGAGCAGACAATGTTCTCTTCATCCTTTTCTAGATCATCCATCTGCTCTTTGGCTTAAAACTTTCCTTTTTGATAAAGCTTATAGTTAGAGTGGCTCAGGTTATCCTGAGCTATCTCTATAGTTATGCTGCTATAGGCTTAGACTACTGGATGACATAGGGACCCCTTTTTCATCATTCTGCTTCATTCTATCTCTATTCTCCCACTCTGCAGAATCTATTAGTTCAATCTCTAACGTTCTGCTCTCTCTGCTTTTTCTCATAGTAGCTTCATCTGGTCTGTTCCTGTTTGGCTGTGACTCAATCCTGGAGAGAAATATCAGCTGTGCTGCTGCCATCAACACCTTTGTTTCTAGATGTTGGAGCGTGGCCTGTTTTTCAGTGTAGTCCTGTTTCTCTGACTTTGACTGGCTGGATGTGGTCACTTCCTCCTCTGACACTAAACCGGCTTGGAGCTCATCCCCTTAACTGTTTCTTTCCTAAACAGAGCCACCTAACGAGCTACTTTTCTCACATGGCTTGAGATTTCATCCCGTTTCCACTGTCGCTACATGCTCTGTGTTTTGGGAACTGGCTCTATGGAAATGAACTGAATTAAATAGAATTGAATCCAGACAGCCTGTCCTGATGTGGATTCACCCCAGGCTCAGATGGAAAACCCATCCCTGGCTGCTGGACCTAGAGCTGGCTTTCTAGAACAGCATCCATTTACTAACGAGGTTAGGAACTCCTATCGATGAGCATGGTAGTCTAGAGCAGAGACTCTGATATTAGAATAAACTCATCTTAAAATCATAATCCACCCTCAGGGTTACTGGAAGTGTCAAATCCAGACAGCTTGTTCTTGAGGGGACAAAGGAGGAGGTGCTGGGGTCCCAGGGGCGTCACCTCTTGGCCTTTGTTCCCAGAGAAGCTTACCTGCTTCAAGTTTCCTCCACACAAAAGACCAACAGGCTGAGGTAGGAGTTACACTGTAATTTAATGGGAGGAGACAGTTGGGAAGGAAGTCTGGATGGGAACCAGAGACCATTACGGGGGGGGGCGGATTAGGAAAGTCAGTGCAGGTTGTTCTGCTGCTCCTCAGCTTTTCTTTAACCTCTCCTTGCTCTGCTTTCCCACATTCATTTTCAATCTTTAATACTTTTGGAACAGAAACAGACGGCAGCCATTTTCCACAGGATTCAGTCCCTCTATCATCCTACCTCTATGGTAGGAGGAATAATTTCTGTCATCTGGAGGAAACTGGATGTCTGGTTGAACTTGCTAAAGTCTTTAGAAGGTGCAGCTGCTACTCAAACTTCAGCCTCAGATTACAGCGTAGAGCAGTGGCCCCTAGATTGGCCCCATGAGTGGGTGCAGAGGCTGAGGGTTACAGTGGACTCTAAGCTGGAAGGTCTGTGTTCTAAGCAGCACATTTCAGATCGTCACCTGAACCTGACTGCTGTCCTGAACACTTCACTGATTGAAACATTTTCCTGCACAGATGATCTGTGACATCAGACTCTAGTGGAACATGGAGACCAAGCTCTATTTAAACGGCTCAGATTGACGCTTGCAGATCAGGCGGAAGGACCAACGTTTCCTCTGATAACAGATAACCAATGATCCCAGAAAACTTAACTGGGAAGACATTGGGCCTGTGTGAGGTCTGAGGACCAAAACAGTACTTCCTCCCTACCTACCAGGACCTTCTGCTAAGTTAAACGCTGCAAAGCCTCATGGGACCATAATGGTTCGTGGAAACACCTTCAGGGATCTGCCAGGAATTAACCAGCATCAAACAAACCAGAATGAGCTGAAAATCCATAAAGCTCTGCAGCTGAGAAAGTCCAGAAGAAAACAGCTCTACGCTTTATAACAAGAAGGAAAATTATGGAGTCAAATGAAGACGTCCAGGAAGCGCTGCCATGAAAAGGAAAGCAGCGCGGCATTCCCACTGAACACTCCGAAAACGCAGAGAAAGACATGGACGTCAGACAGACGAGGAAAACTGCCAAGTCTCAGTGAGCGCCACATGTCTCACCTTTAAGAGGGAGGAGGAAGGAGGAGAAAGGAGGAGGAGGAAGAGGTGAAAGGAGGGAGAGCAGGAGGAGGAAGAGGAGGAAGAGGAGGAGGAGACTGTGCTACTTACTGTGAGGGAGAGGATGGAGGAGAAGAAGGTCCCTTCATCGTACCTGGAGAGCTTGGAGAGGACGCCGTCTAACACCGCCATGAACTGCAGACGGACGCCAAGGAACCACAGATTACACAAGTTATCACAAGTTATCACAAGTTATCACTAGTTATCACAAGTCATCACAAGTTATCACTAGTTATCACTAGTTATCACGAGTTATCACAAGTTATCAAGAGTTATCACAAGTGATCATTAGTTATCACGAGTTATCACGAGTTATCACTAGTTTTCACAAGTTATCACTAGTTATCACCAGTTATCACTAGTGATCACAAGTTATTACGAGTTATCACTAGTTATCACGAGTTATCACGAGTGATCATTAGTTATCACTAGTTATCACAAGTGATCATTAGTTATCACTAGTTATCACAAGTTATCACAAGTTATCACTAGTTATCACGAGTTATCACAAGTTATCACGAGTTATCACAAGTGATCACAAGTTATCACGAGTTATAACTACTGATCACAAGTTATCACGAGTTATCACTAGTTATCACGAGTTATCACAAGTGATCACTAGTTATCATGAGTTATCACTAGTGATCACAAGTTATCACTAGTTATCATGAGTTATCACAAGTGATCATTAGTTATCACTAGTTATCACAAGTTATCACGAGTTATCACAAGTGATCACGAGTTATCACAAGTTATCATGAGTTATCACGAGTTATCACAAGTGATCACAAGTTATCACAAGTTATCACGAGTTATCACAAGTGATCATTAGTTATCACTAGTTATCACGAGTTATCACAAGTTATCACGAGTTATCACGAGTTATCACGAGTTATCACAAGTGATCACAAGTTATCACGAGTTATCACTAGTTATCACAAGTTATCAAGAGTTATCACGAGTTATCACAAGTCATAACAAGTTTACTTTTATTCTTCTGAAGTTTTAATAAAAAACAGTTCAAAGAAAAGCGGATGGATCACAGCAATTCAATCTTCCTTTAAAACACATCAACTAATAATAACAACAAACTCCAAATAAAAAAACGAAAAGATAAATATTTTTATTTATGTAAAAGAAGAGTAGAGGATGACGCTACCTTAGATACCAGGGAGGAGATCATTTCCTTGAAGGTGTCGTCGATCAGAACATCGATCCTGGAATGGTAGTGATGCTGCGGGTCGTTAGCGGTGGAGACATGATGGAGAAGAAACAGGAAACACTTTAGGAGCTGAGTCAACATTAGCTGCTACGTCCACAGAGGAGGAACCTGGAGGAAACATTTAGAGCAGCGCAACCAAAGGCTCACATTCAATTAATCCCACGCAACTTCATGCCTGGAACCATGAGCACCACAGCTCCTTAGAAGAGGAGAAAAGGCAGAGCGCTGAATGGCAGCAGGAACAATGGAGCGGGTCTCCCTTTCACTGGCCCTCAAAGGGGCCCCAAATGAAATATTTCAATCCTCAAAGCAGATAAATCGATGCTAAACTGCAGATCTGAGGAGATCACAGCAGAATGTAGCTTTCCTTCATCCACAGGTTTCATTCAGGTTCCCATTTTTCCAGGATCCGTCTTAATTAGCAGCCTGTTGATCTTTGCTCTGCGTACAAAAATGGAAACTCAGCTTCATGAAAAACATTTCGTTGGTTTTTGTTTCTGTTCGCCCTGAAGGCTGAACACAGCTGCTGATTGGATTAAAGCATCCAAACCTCCAGGAGTGGAGACGTCATGGAGGGGGCTCCATCACTTTGAGGGATACAGCGGCTCTCACCTTAAGAGGCCTGAGATAGACGGTCAGAGCTTAAGGCATCTGATGGAGCAAAAAACTGTTTCTATCAAAGGTTTGTTCCTTATCTTTACTAGATGAAGTTATAACTAAGACTGGACCAATTGGTTTTGTTAAGCAGGGGGGCATTTACCATTAGGCAATACCAGGCAGTTGCCTAGGGCCCCCAAGTTCCTAGAGGACTCATAAAACTCTGTTTACATGTATGGTTAATACAACTATTCCTTATTTGTGCACATTATTAATGTTTTTGATAAAAATCCTTTGGCTAAAATGCCTAATAATATTAATTCTCCCCCCCTTCAGTGTCCACCATATTGGATCAGTCCATTTGCTGCACATGTTCAGAAAGGTCCAAACAGACAGCAGCAAACCATTTGAAAACAAACGATGCAAAGAGCAGTGTTGCCAACTTAGCGCTTTAGTCGCTATATTTAGCCACTTTTCAGACCCCTCTAGCACTTTGATTTCTAAAAAGCTCCTAGCGCCAAATCTAGAGACTTTTTTCTGCTACTGGAGACTTTGGAGACATCTAAAAGCAGCGAACTCTGCTCTCCAGAGCAAGTAGATTGGTAACCCCGCCTCCTGCTCTCCTCTATCTTGTCTGCTGTCATGATTCATGCAGCTATTATTTCATCCAAATGAAAAATGGAGAACAGATAAGCAGATCATGGCTTGTCTACAGTGAAAAGAAGGACTGGGTTATTTACTTTGGCCTTTTTGGAAACACAGGAAGGAGCAATCAGCTAAGTGAGCTTAGTGCTTGGAAAAAATATTTCATTCCTTTAGAGACAGCATGAAAAGTCAGCTGAGTACAAAACATAGAGAGGAAAACAAGAAGAAAAGGGACAAGAAGAGAGGGACACAACCTAGAACAGATAATGGATGTCTATTCTATTAACATTTCTCTATCTGAATAATGGGTCTGTTTTATATGGTATTTTCTCCATTCAGAGGGCCCCCTGACTGTCTTTGCCTAGGGCCCCACATTTCCTCAATTTCTCTAATAAGCTTTGATAGTCTTCATGAAAAAAAAAAACAACTAATGATCATTTAATGTTTCCTCCAGGATGGAAATAAAACAAAGAGAGGAGAAATCCAGGAGATGACGACAGACGTCTGAGGACACAAAATTTGGGGGATCCATGGACAGGGCAGGACAGGCTATGAGAGGGTGGAGCTACTTACCCATTGTATGTCACTCTGGGATTGATGGGAGGCAGCGGAGAACATGGAAGAGAAGAGGACAGCAGTCAGCCATCGAACGACAGATAAGAACTAGTTTATAAATCTGTTTTATTTTCACATCAGAGAGAAAAAAAACTTCTTGATTTGGCAAAGACTTATTTTCTATCAGAAGAAGAAGAAAAATCCACATCGCCTCCGCACCCGCTCACCGGACCGGCCTCCGCACCCGCTCACCGGACCGGCCTCCGCACCCGCTCACCGGACCGGCCTCCGCACCCGCTCACCGGACCGGCCTCCGCACCCGCTCACCGGACTGGCCTCCGCACCCGATACCTGGACCGGCCTCCGCACCCTCTCACTGGACCGGCCTCCGCACCCGATACCTGGACCGGCCTCTGCACTTCCTCACTGGTCCGGCCTCAGCACAAGCTCACCGGTCCGGCCTCTGCACCCGCTCACCGGACTGGCCTCCGCACCCGATACCTGGACCGGCCTCCGCACCCTCTCACTGGACCGGCCTCCGCACCCTCTCACTGGACCGGCCTCCGCACCCGATACCTGGACCGGCCTCTGCACTTCCTCACTGGTCCGGCCTCAGCACAAGCTCACCGGTCCGGCCTCTGCACCCGCTCACCGGACCGGCCTCCGCACCCGGTCAATGGGCCGGCCTCCGTAACCTGGTCACTGGTCAATCCGCCTCAGCCGTTCATGGTCCGGCCTCCGCACCCACTCACTGGACCGGCCTCCGCACCCGCTCACTGGTCTGGCCTTCCCACCTGCTCACCGGTCCGGCCTCGGCACACGGTCAATGGGCCGGCCTCCGCACCCGGTTAATGGGCTGGCCTCCGCACCTGGTCACTGGTCAATCCGCCGCAGCCGTTCATGGTCCGGCCTCCGCACCCGCTCACTGGACCGGCCTCCGCAACCGCTCACCGGTCCGGCCTTCGCACCCGCTCACCGGTCCGGCCTTCGCACCCGCTCACCGTTCCGGCTTCCGCACACGGTCACTGGACCGGCCTCCGCACCCGATACCTGGACCGGCCTCCGCACCCGGTCACTGGTCCATCCTCCGCACCCGTTCATGATCCGGCCTCCGCACACGGTCACTGGACCGTCCTCCGCACCCGGTCACTGGACCGGCCTCCGCACCCGGTCACTGGACCGGCCTCCGCACCCGGTCCCTGGTCCATCCTCCGCACCCGTTCATGATCCGGCCTCCCCACCCGCTCACCGGTCTGGCCTCGGCACATGGTCAATGGTCCGGCCTTCGCACCCACTCACTGGACCGGCCTCCGCACCCGCTCACTGGTCTGGCCTTCGCACCTGCTCACCGGTCCGGCCTCGGCACACGGTCACTGGGCCGCCCTACCCACCCGGTCAATGGGCCGGCCTCCGCACCTGGTCACTGGTCAATCCGCCGCACCCGTTCATGGTCCGGCCTCCGCACCCGCTCACTGGACCGGCCTCCTCAACCGTTCACCGTTCCAGCTTCCGCACACGGTCACTGGATCGGCCTCTACACCCGGTCAATGGACCAGCCTCCGCACCCGGTCACTGGACCCGCACCCGGTCACTGGACCCGCCTCCGCACCCGGTCACTGGACCGGCCTCCGCACCCGGTCACTGGTCAATCCGCCGCAGCCGTTCATGGTCCGGATCTCCGCACCCGCTCACTGGACCGGCCTCCGCAACCGCTCACCGGTCCGGCCTCGGCACACGGTCACTGGGCCGGCCTACGCACCCGGTCAATGGGCCGGCCTCCGCACCTGGTCACTGGTCAATCCGCCGCACCCGTTCATGGTCCGGCCTCCGCACCCGCTCACTGGACCGGCCTCCTCAACCGTTCACCGTTCCGGCTTCCGCACACGGTCACTGGATCGGCCTCTACACCCGGTCAATGGACCGGCCTCCGCACCCGGTCACTGGACCCGACCCCGCACCCAGTCACTGGACCCGCCTCCGCACCCAGTCACTGGACCGGCCTCCGCACCTGGTCACTGGTCCATCCTCCGCACCCGTTCATGATCCGGCCTTCGCACCCGCTCACCGGTCCTGCCTTCTCACCCGCTCACCGGTCCGGCCTTCGAACACGCTCACTGTTCCCGCCTCCCCACCCGCTCACTGGTCCGGCCTCCGCACCTGCTCACCGGTCCGGCCTCCGCACACGGTCACTGGACCAGCCTCCGCACCCGTTCACCAGTCCGGCCTCCCCACCCGGTCACTGGACTTGCCTCTGCACCCGCTCACCGCCCAGCCTCCGCACCTGCTCACTGCACAGGCCTCTGCATCCACTAACTGGTCAGGCCTCCGCACTGCATCCGCTCACTGATCCAGGCTCATCACCCGCTCACTGATCTACTTACTGGTCCAGCCTCCTTCAGGCTGGGCACAGGCTGCTGGTTTGGGATGGAGAATATTTCTGGAGCTCCGTTAGCTCGGAAAAACACAAACGACCAGCAACACAGAGCATTTTCTGTCTATACTAAACCATGAAAAAAAAAAAAAAACAACCTGTAAAGTTGTTTTTAGTCGGTTTAATTGGGCGGATGAGGCTTTGGTCATTTCTGAGCTCAATCTGCCGGCAGAAAAACCTCAGCTCTGTTTTCATGGAGGTCATTGTCAGATCAAAGACATTTTGTCTCCATTTTATCTTGTAGTTTTTAACCTTTTCATCATTTTTCCATTACATATTTCACCTTGACACAAATATTTCATCTTAGAAGTAATTTACTTCTATACCCACTGCTCTGAACAGGAGACAGCTATTTTGAGGCGCTGCGGTTTATGGGCAGTAGGATCCATTGGTGGTTTGTTATTTAGAGTCCTGATGCCTCCCCCACTGATGTCTTTATCAGGCAAACATGGAAAACCTGCTGAAAGAGCCGCAGAAAGGCTTTTATTCTTTTGAAAGCTCCTCAGAAAGACTCGTTTTTTGGTCTGATAATATCCAAGGTTATTTATTGCTGGACGTTTCAAAGCTGAATAAATTTCATCCTAAAAATGATTCATTTATTGCTACGAGATGTCAAGCGAAGGTTTTGTTATGTTGGGAAACAGAGACATATGTTCCTGTTGACAAACATTTGCTCTGTAAATGTGAATATTTTCCTTTTTCTCTCAGGAGTCTGTTCAGTGTTGCCTTCTTAAACGAGCTACAAAATTCTCTATTCTTTTTGTCCGATCATTTTGATTCAAGGAAAAAATATTATTTAGAAAGCTAAAGGTTTTTATCCGCATACATCCTTCAACCCTATTAGTCCACAAATTTATTCAACAAAAATAGCAAACAGTGGGAAGGGGGTTAGGTTTATAGTTTGGAAGGATTTAACTGTTGATCTCTAAACGTCAAGGTCGGGAGGGATTCAGGTTAGCTGGAAAAGAAGAGCATAAAACCGTCCCGAGTTTCACACCTGGAGACGCAGAGGAAAACCGTCCCGAGTTTCACACCTGGAGACGCCGAGAAAAACCATCCCGAGTTTCACACCTGGAGACGCAGAGGAAAACCGTCCCGAGTTTCACACCTTGAGACGCCAAGGAAAACCGTCCCGAGTTTCACACCTGGAGACGCCGAGGAAAACCGTCCCGAGTTTCACACCTGGAGACGCCGAGGAAAACCATCCCGAGTTTCACAAGAGAACAGCGGCAGCGGAGGGTTCGGCTTTCAGCACCGCCGAGGCCAAAGCATCAGCATTTCACTCACGCTCAGTGGAACTTTGAGCAAAAAATAGAGGTTAACATCGCCCTCTGTGGTAGACCGATAGGGTGAAAACTTAAATGAGCTAGCATCAACGGTCTGAGAAGCGTTAGGAAAAGTCCTCATATTCAGAATTCAAACTCTGAAAGTACCTGTTAATAAAAATTATTCCATCCTGTTCAATAACATGGAATCGAGGTTTTAAAACGTCGAATTTCACATGTGAATCAGCTTTACTGGAGGCATCCAGTTTTCAAAGAACTCTAACTGCCAACCTACGAGTTTGTAACTCACGTGCGGTATCAGGCCGCTGACAATCCCTGCTGTACTGGTGTTTGTCAAACGCGCTATATCCAAGTCCTTGAGAAACATTCTTCTTCCAAGTTGTACATATACGTGTTTTTTCTCTGGCCAGAGTTCGATTGCAAATCCTCTCTCCAAGTTGGCGATCCAACACCAACCTCGTGGAGGATCAGAACAGAAGGATAATAATTTTTTCTCTTTTACCGATGTATTCACATCCACTGCAGCATGGCGCATTGTCAGTTCAACTTACCTGGGAATTTCACACTGGTGAAGTCCTCTGAGAAATCTTCAATATTGTTGTTTGTAATCTGGGACCCGAGTCACATACCCTCATGAAATTGTTAATTGATTTTGGTTGAGTAGTATAAGTGAACAAGATGGAGGTATATTGTTATTTAGTTTGTTTGGACATTTTTCATGCTTCTGGAGGAGAAGGACTGGCCATCCGAGTTTGTTAATTGATTTGGTTGACTCTTAGATTGTAAAACTGTTCTGGTTTAAAATACCTGGGTATGACGTTACGAAGATTAAAACACCTCCATTTTTGCACCTGAGACACGAGGAAAACCGGCTCGCGAGTTTCACACCTGAGACACCGTGGAAAACCCTCCCGAGTTTCACACACTGGAACGCCGAGGAAAAACCTTCACGAGTTTCACACCTGGAGACGCCGAGGAAAACCTTCACGAGTTTCACACCTGGAGACGCCGAGGAAAACCGTTCCGAGTTTCACACCTGGAGACGCCGAGGAAAACCTTCACGAGTTTCACACCTGGAGACGCCGAGGAAAACCGTCCCGAGTTTCACACCTGGAGACGCCGAGGAAAACCGTCCCGAGTTTCACACCTGGAGACGCCGAGGAAAACCGTCCCGAGTTTCACACCTGGAGACACCGTGGAAAACCCTCCCGAGTTTCACACCTGGAGACGCCGAGGAAAACCTTCACGAGTTTCACACCTGGAGACGCCGAGGAAAACCTTCACGAGTTTCACACCTGGAGACGCCGAGGAAAACCGTTCCGAGTTTCACACCTGGAGACGCAGAGGAAAACCGTTCCGAGGTTCACACCTGGAGACGCCGAGGAAAACCATTCCGAGTTTCACATCTGGAGACGCCGAGGAAAACCGTCCCGAGTTTCACACCTGGAGACGCCGAGGAAAACCATCCAGAGTTTCACACCTGGAGACGCCGAGGAAAACCGTCCCGAGTTTCACACCTGGAGACGCCGAGGAAAACTGTCCTGAGTTTCACACCTGGAGACACCAAGGAAAACCCTCCCGAGTTTTACACCTGGAGACACCGAGGAAAACCCTCCCGAGTTTCACACCTGGAGACGCCGAGGAAAACCTTCACGAGTTTCACACCTGGAGACGCCGAGGAAAACCATCCCGAGTTTCACACCTGGAGACGCCGAGGAAAACCGTCCCGAGTTTCACACCTGGAGACGCCGAGGAAAACCGTCCCGAGTTTCACACCTGGAGACGCCGAGGAAAACCGTCCAGAGTTTCACACCTGGAGACGCCGAGGAAAACTGTCCCGAGTTTCACACCTGGAGACGCCGAGGAAAACCTTCACGAGTTTCACACCTGGAGACGCCGAGGAAAACCTTTACGAGTTTCACACCTGGAGACGCCGAGGAAAACCTTCACGAGTTTCACACCTGGAGACGCCGAGGAAAACCTTTACGAGTTTCACACCTGGAGACGCCGAGGAAAACCATCCCCAGTTTCACATCTGTCACCACTTGACCACCCTGAAGTCTTCTCTGATGGTTTTCTGAAAGGATCCGGAATTACCTTAGAATTTCTAGAGAATCATAAACACGAATCAGTTCAGTTTAGAACTGGACTGATTTAGAACTTTTCCCACCTGGAACCGAATGCTTAAAAGGGAAACACATCAGTCTGATGCATTCAAACAGCAACAGGACAGGAAGGCAGTGAAGGAAGCAGGCCACTGACTGAAAGGCTGAAGAAACTTTCTGTGCATGACGCTGCCCTCCATAGAGAACTAACTAATGCCTTTAGCAACCGGGTGAAGCTGGCTGAACTGAACTGAATCAGTTTGAACAACAACCCAGAAACCAGAATCTCCGGTAATAAAACCAACTTCTTCTCCTGCTCTGTTTTCTGGTGATGCTGCCACCTGTGACCAAAACACATAACTGCAGCTCTCTTCTGGTTGCGCTCGTACCTAAAAAGGTGTTTGTTTTCCACCTTATGAGGCGTTTCCATTGGTGTCTGAGGTAAGCTGGATCCCGGTCGCCTCCGAGTATCCATGAAATCCATCTTTAACACTTTGATTGTTTGCTAGTTTGGACCCATTCAAGATGGATGCCACGTCATATCGCAGAACAGCGTGGGAACTTCTGACCCAAAATAAATTCAGGAAAAATGGATGAACTGCTGAGGCGTCAGTCAGATCATCAAAGGCTATTTTAAAGATTTTTTCCTTTAAAAACATCATAAGACGATCTGATGATGATGAAGAAGAGGAGGTGATGAAGTTATAGAACAGAGTCTGGAGTTTCAGAGGTGAGCAGAATGTGAGACATTCTTCAGAACCACAGCAGCTGTTGCTTTCATTTATGCATCTATTCAGCTCAAATTCTGACTTCAGCCAATAGGAATAATTTTTCATGTTTCTATTTGAAATAAACCAGGGAAATGGAAAAAGAACATTTAAAGATAATACCTCAGCCACCACCATGCTTTATCACTCCCTTCTAGGAGCATTTTCAGTCCTTTCCAACACTGACAACATCTGGATTCAGCCAGAGTCAATTTCTCAGCACTAGAACATCATCTATTAATCCAACATGGTTGGTTTTACCTCCCTACATCGTCTTATTCCTCCAAAGTGCTAAACATGACCTTCAAAAGATGAATCAAGCTTTTCAACCAGAGGAATAAATGATTGCAGGCAGCAAAGCAGAGCAGCAGGCGAAGAGGTGATGGTGAAGAGAACAGCGGCAGCGGAGGGTTCGGCTTTCAGCACCGCCGAGGCCAAAGCATCAGCATTTCACTCTCTGCTCATGTTGAACATTTGAAGCAAACAGAAAGAGGCTAACATCGCCCTCTGTGGTTATACCGATAGTGGCTGAAAATAAAATGAAGGCAGCATCACGGTTCTAGAAGCGTTTAAAGGAAAAGTCGCTCATATTCAGAATTCAAACTTCTGAAAGTACTTTAAATATAAAATTATTCCATCCTGTTCAATAAATGATCAGTGTTTTTAATTAAGAGTAATTTTCATGTGAATGTGCTTTACTGGAGGCATCCATGTTTGTCAAAGAACTCTACTGCCACCTACTGGTTTGTAACGTCACGGTGCGGTATCGGCTGCTGATCAAGTCCCAGTGCTGTATCTGGTGTTTGTCACAACGCGCTATTATCCAAGTCATCTTGAAAACATTCTTCTTCCAAATGTTGGCTACATATTACGTGTTTTTTCTCTGGCCAGAAGTTCGATTGCAAATCCTCCCTCTTCAAGTTGGCGATCCAACGACCAACCCGTCCGTGGAGGATCAGGAATCAGAAAGATTAAATAACTTTTTTTTCTCTCTTTTACCCGATGTATTCCAGCATCCAGCTGCCATGCATGTGGGCATTGTCAGTTCAACTATAGCTCTGGTGAATTTCAATGGTGAAGTCCTCTGGAAATCTTCAATAATTGTTGTTTGTAATGGGGACCACGAGTCACATTACCCTCATGAAATATGATTATTGATTTTGTGTTGAGTAGTATTAAGTTGGAACAAAGAGTTGGGAGGTTATACTTGTATATTGTAGTTTTGTTTGGACATTTTTCATGCATTCTTGTGAAGCAGAAGGACTGGCCATCCTGAGTTTTGTTAAATTTGATGGGGTTTTTGTGGTTGACTTTAGATTTGTTTAATTGTATTGATTTTTAGGTATGTAAATATTACTTTGAGTGTATAGTACGTATACGTATGTTTATTAAGTAGAGTTGCACCGATGCCATTTTTTGGCCCCCGATACCGAAACCTGGCTGTGCAGTATCAGCCGATACCATCTGTTTTAAATTGATGTGTGTTTATATGAAGAACTGCATACTACTTTTATGTAAAATAATAGCCATCATGGCTTTGTCAAGCTGCTGTCTATCTTTGTGAAGCAGGAAAAAGACTGATACAAAGTGAATCCAGTACAACTTTTTATTACCTACCTGGAATGGGTGACAAAATGGTATCGCTGCCCTATTTGTTGGTACTCACTGATACCACCATTTTAGATGTGGATCGGGGCCCCACTCGATACTTGTATTGGTATCGGTGCAACAGTTATATTAATTTTGCTTCTTTTTCTTAATAATCCCTTTTCAAAGTTCCTTCCTTCATGTAACCCGAATTAAGTTTGGTATAACATGCTGATTGTTCTGCTGGAGCAGTTTTGTGTTCCCTCTGCATTAAATATTGGGCCTCCGCCGCCGCCGGTCAAACTGACATTGTTGATTGCAGATGTGTCTAGTAGTTCCCATTGATTTTGCTTGTAAAGCGGGGAGAATGGCTCTAGGCTTACCGCTCCGTGACGTAGATGGCAGGAGGGAGGGGTTACTGTATTTGGGCAAAAATGGCCGCTCCCAGACTCAGTGAAGAAAATTATTATTATTTTTCTTTTAACTGATAAACGCCAGATTAATGAAATCACCTCAAACGCATTAGTTTTAGGTCTAAATAATGATCCATTGATTATTCCCCGGTGAGCGGACTTTTCCTTTAAAGTAACCGTCCATGGTGGCTGAATTTACCTCCTGACTGAAGTCCAGCTCACAGAGTTTGGAGCTCTGCTTCCTGGCATCCAGCAGCACGTTGAACATGGTGCAGACTGACAGCGGCACCCGCAGATCCGTGGATTTACTCGCCTTCTGAATTCTGGCATCAAAGGCAGATTTTGTCCTGTGGGATCAGACATGATGGGGAATTTAAATCAGGCCTTTCAGGAAAAAGAAAAACAACGTTTTAGGATGATGTTGAGGTGGACTGATATGAATAAGGATCCTTCTGTCATCAGCTTTTTGCTTCTAATCATATTCATATGTATTTTATTTTCTCTACAGTCTAATACCCTGATGGTGGAGATGATGGTTGTTAGTCGGAGCTAAATAAATTCATTTAAAGATGACTTCCTATAGTTTATCTGAGTTTCCTTCCTTCATAGATCTGCTTCAGCAAACATTCAATAGATTCACATCCCTCTGATCAATGAAAGAAGCTGTTCTCACACAATTTCTCTTGCTCCCTCCTTTCAATGATATATTAAAGTTTTCACACTTTGTATCTGACAGAGCCTGAAAAATTATTTTATGTTCTGGCTGCAAAATCTAAAAACATACAGATACAGTTAGAAAAAATAACTTTTATTGAAGAAGGTAAAAATGATGCTTTAATATACAATAAACACCAAACACACAGGTGCAAACGACCTGCAAACATATGAATGATGCAAACACTAAAACCAAATAGGATAGAAGAAACTCTGCTGTAATCAAAGACAGAAGAAAAAGAACAATGACGAAACAAAAAACCCAACAACAACTTCAATAAAGTTCTAAAATGTTCCAAACGTTTGCGACCTATAGGTTATTTACTGTACAGTAAACAAGCTGCCCCGAAACCTGAAGGTCGACGCCCCCAAAGTATGCAGCACTTTGTTTAATGGAGCCAGTTTGCTGTTGAAATTGGGAATTTGCAGATTTTTTTCTTGGTATTTGTTTTATAAGATGTTGGTTTTTGCTTCTATTGAGTTTTCCTGACTGCTGCCTCGTTTTTACATCATTCATTTCACTGTTTGCACCTCGTTCTGCACCGTTTCACAGCATCACTCACTACAATCAGCCTTTTATTCCCTGCAGACCTTTAAAAGCAATGATCTGAATCTCAAACAATCTCAATCATTCCCTGCTCTCCATCTTCTGGGCGAAATAAAAACAGATATTGGCTAATTCATTGGCAGGTTGATCATATGTGGATGCACCTCTGCTCATATTTCTCACCGTTTGACGCAGGCGTCCATCATGTCGCTGGCCATCAGTTTGAGTCTTTGCTCCAGATGTTTGGCGAACTCTGGCTCTGGCCACTGGAGATCAATCACAAACATCTGCAGAGCGTCCAGCTTCCAGAATAAATCCTCGGAGGTGGCCGATCCGTTGCTGCAGGGATAGTGGAGAAGCTTAGAAACAGAAAGCTGCTGATCAGACAGAGACCTTTAGAGAAGCAGCAGTCTCATCTTTGAATTAATTCCTGTTTTAATTAAACTGAAGATGACAGGGAGACTGTAGTGCTGAAAACATCTGGGAATGTTTTTTTTTTGTCTTTAATGCTTTTCTCTCTTTTAATACTTTCTTATTATCCAACATCCAGTAAATGTGACCAGAAGGCATCAATTATTTCCTCCTAACCAGGAATAAAGAAGAAGATGACTGAGTAACATCTCAGCTAAAGTCTTCAGAGGAGTAAACCTTTCCTGTTGGCCTGTTCTTAATGTTGTAGAATAAATATTCACACTCCTGCCATGATTGTTTGATGTCCTGCACTGACTGCGTTCCCTTCAGTGTTGGGCACTTTGAAAAAGTAATTAGTTATAGTTACTAGTTACTTCTCCCAAAAAGTAACTGAGTTACTACACAATAAAAGTAACTAGTTACTAGTAAAAGTAACTATTTAGTTACTTTTGCGTTTCTCGCCCCCGTAACCCTCACCACCCAGCCCCCACCTTCTTGCTGTGTGTTTCCAAAGCCAGCTGAATAGAGCGGACAACAAAGACAAGAACCTGCAGAGAGTTTAGCATTTGTTGCAACTCAACGTAAATGACATCGGGGGGAACGCTATGTGAAGTTTTTTAACGGGGCGTTCAGATCTGGTGAGTATATGAAATTAATAACTGGGGATGTCTAATTCTGAAATGCTGTGTGTTTGGGTTGTTATAGATACTGCAATATCTATCTATCCATCTATCTATCTAGATGTATACTCTGTGTGTGACATAAAATATGGATCTCCATCCCTGCCACAAAGGCCATCAAATAATGTTTAAAATAAAAAATACAGTAGTTTGAAAAGGCAGAGTATCCAGATTTCTCCCTTTCTTCATATAAGCTAACATTTGATCGTTCACGCTCTCCATAGTTCTCCTGTGGCGTGAGCACAGGGCGGCTGTTACGCGCCTTTAGCGAGCATGCGCGTTTCCTGTCGCTTGCGCTGTGAATCGTGCCGCCTGCGCTGTGTGGAGATGCAGAGGAAACCGTATGTGATGGAGAAACGCAGCTCGACGTAACACCGGTATTTCCATCTGGAAAAGGCTGTTTTGCTGCTGGAGTCCTCCTCACTCTCCATCTCTCTGTGTGTGCTGTACGTTAACACCCGCCAGCGGAAACACCCACCTACCCAACTGACAGACGGAATCTCACTATACATCAGCCAATCTCATCTCAAGGCGCGCACGAGTCCTATCATGAAAAAAGGTTAACTGTGCGACCCGAGTAACCTGCAGTAACGGGGTGTCGGCAGTAGTAACTGCGTTATAGTTGCAGTCAAAGTAATTAGTTAGATTACTCGTTACTCAAACAAGGCGCCGTTACTTTCAACTCCGTTAGTCCCATCACTGGTTCCCTTTTTATAAATGTCAGCACTCTTCATGCCCACCTGAGCTCTTCTCAATATCAACAGATTCAGCAGCCAGATTATCTAAAGCTATATTCAGATAAAACCAGGTGTTTAAACCTAACCGTGTTTTCTGCCGCTCTCTGCCTGTCCCTGCCTGTTTTAACAGGTCTGTCAGGCAGGTTGGTGGTTGTGCTAAAACATCAGACCCTAAAGCCTGGTTTATGCTCACAAACCAGGTGGTCTGCCTGTGTGTCGCAGTGAACGCAGATATGCCCCGCCCCCTTCCGCAGACATCTTCCAAATTGTAGGTGACCGCAGACAGGAGGCCTCTGATTGGTCAAATCTACATCCACTCTACTCTATGCGTATTTCCTGTTTGGTACCTTACTGGCTTGTTTTGTTTATATGACCGCCATTGTTGAAAACTGGTGAAGATGGAGCAGCTAGAAGAGCGAGGTGCGCGAGAACACTGGGACCATTTTTCTACCTGGATCCCCGCTCTTTTTGGCCCTCATGTCCCTCCGTTGTCGGACAAACACCGCCTTGGCCATATCTAGACCCACAGCTAGTTCTTGATTGGCCCTCTGGCGTTGTGGCGTGGAATAACAGCGCAGACAACGCTTCAATATTAGGCATAAATCAAAAATATAATCAGCCTGAAAAGGTCAACCACTGGTTCAGTGCATGGCTGGCCTACAGCTTCTCAGCATCAGTTGATAGAAGGTGACCACGGTTCCACCAGCTCAGAGAAGAAGGCACCACTTCATGAATCCTGTGGTCAGATTGTAAATAAGTGTCCGATGTTGTTTTTATATTCTTGAACCTGACATTCAGGCCTCTGCCAACTATGCACTGACGATGCGGCGGCAAAGCTGCGTGTTTCTGCTTAGTAAACAACACCATGAAGATGGAGACAGATGGACATCGCAGCACTGCAAACAGGTTAGACAGTAACACATGGCAACCCTCAGCACCATCAACATCCAAGTGTACAGCGCCCACAGCTAAAATGACTGCCGTGGGGACGTCGGGGGGGGGCTCCCTCTAACTCCCTCACTTTTCTCACTCTGCCTTTAAAAGACTGTTACCTTAGAAGTGCCGCACAGAAATAAATACTTGGGTTGAGTCCGTGTTGCAATTAAAAGCTGGGTGGCTATCCCCCTCAAGTCTAATTACTGGTGCTCTTCTGTGAACGTGCTCCGCCCCGCTCCCCGGGGAACGGGGCGATCCCACTCACCCGTCTGTGCTCGTTAATGAAGTGCCAGCTTTTTCTCCCCTCTCTTCTCTAGAGTGGTGAACGGCCAAGTGAGACGAGGTGGAGGAGCAGCGTGTACTGTGCTGTGGGAAAGGCTGGCAGAGCCAGACTGAAATCTTTTTAAGAAAAACACCCTCAAACTGTCTCTTGAGAACCCTGCCGCCCCCCAAAACGGCCATATAAGATAGAAAACCTGCTATAGAATTACTAACTACGACAATTAGGCTTCTTTAGTAAAGCATCATGAACTCTGATGTGTATAGACAAGACCGATTATTTTCACGTTAAATGATTTTAACACAACAGATACTTGTAATAATGATGAGAATCAGCAGTTCAGCCCACACCAGGAGCTGATCATCTTAAGGCCACAGCTTCAAGAGGCAGAGGACCTGCAGATAGTCTGAAAATAATAATGGGCTTCATGCACAAACATTTTCCTATTCTTGTCATAAATTGTGGTCAAATACTTATGCTGCCTTCACACTGAAGGCATTAGGGGTGTCAGAAAACGCTTAAAACGCAGAAATCTGGAAGCTGGATAGAACTGTGGTCCGGTTGCTTTGCTGCTTCAATGCTCTGGTTGTTTATCTGCTAGAGAGCAGACAGAAAAATAGTTAGAACACATTTTTAAGTGAGAAAGTCCACCTCCAAACATCCTCTGTTCATCAGTTTATCAGGATTACAATCCCACAATAATCCGTTTATAATAACCAGTTCACCACAGTTCTTCCAGCAGTCCACACTTTCTCTGCTTTCTTTTTCTCATCATCTTCTCCTTCTTTCCCATCGCCCGGCTTGCCACAGGTTTGCCTGCTGTGTCTAAAAGTAGCAGCAGCAGCAACCCAGACTGACAGCAGCTCATTGGCTAATCTGGATCACGTGCAGCCTGGAGCCGGACGCTCTGGAGGGCTTTACCGTATTAACAGGAGAAGAGGCACAAGTGAAGTCAGACACTGTCGTCAGACAACATGCAGTAATTTATACAGTAATTATACGCCCAGCAGGTGGGTCCGGATCCGGACAGCGGTCCACTAATCAGTGAACTTTGCCATATAAGAATAATTTTGTTTTCGTACGATTGCTCCTACCATGAGGCCCATTGTCCATGATCTCCTTCAAGACAAGAGAAATCCAAGATGTGTGATGAGGGCCAGAAATAAAGGTTTCTCTTCACCTGAGGGTCCAGGTCTGATTACACCAATAAAAAAAAAAAAAATCATCATCAAACACTGGCTAAATGTGCCTGTAACCCAAGAACACTAATGAGCAACTCATTGCTCAGACATGGTGTTCATTATGGATATTCTGTATCCTGCATTAAAATCCAACCACATGAATTAGTGGAGGAACATATGAGGAGCCCATTCTTCAAGATCACACCCCTTCAGGTAACGCCGTCATTATCCACATGGGTAATAAAGTTCCCTAAAAGTACAAAATAATTTTTTCCCAGGGAACCAAGCAAAAGACAGGGGAATATCACCTGCATAGCACAGACAACAGTCTGACAACTGGAGATGGAGCAGCTAGAAGAGCGAAGGTGCGCAAGAACGCTGGGACCCTTTTTCCACCTGGATCCCTGCTCTTTTTGGCCATCATATCCCTCTGTTGTCGCACAAACTTGCCCCCACTACCTCACCATCTTGGCCGTATCTAGACCCATAGCTAGTTCTTGATAGGCCCTCTTGTGTTCTGGCCTGGAATAACATAGCGCAGACCACGCTGCAATAGTGGGTATAAATCAAAAATATCTGCAACAAGCTCACAGTGACACACCACTGCGGGAGGATAACCAGGCCTTTACTCAAACTGCATTGGCTCCTGAGGTGTTGATCTCACAAATCTCACAAAGGGATTTTTTACGTTTGGCAGAGGATGATCAGCCACATATAGTTTATTAGGTAGCGAGAGCAGGAACAGCCATACTGCTGAGAGCGAACCATCAGAGTGGAGTGGAGCTGGAAGATCAGACTTAGAGTTCAGCGCGCAGTACCGGACCATTCTGGATTATTTTCAGGATCCATCTGTGGTCATGCAGAGTGAGCACCGCTGCACGCCAGGTGGGCGGCGTGACCAAACAGGAAGCAGCAGCACGGTTGATACTGCTTAGCTGATTACAGCACAATGATGCATTTTAAACGTCTGACCGATGACCCGCTAACATTTTTATTTAGTCTCGTCTCATTAACGAAAACTCACGCCCATGAGTCGTCATGTTTTCCTAACCAAAGATCCATGTTTGGCTCATCGGTTCTCATTGTCATAAAAAAAAAAGAGCGAAAACGAAATACTTGTGCATTGTTGACGAAAACAACGCCGCTCAGAACTAAGCCAGAAACAGCAGGTCAGAGTAGGAAACTGAACTCCTTCAAAAACTCAAATTCTTCTCTAAATCATTAGATATCTTCCAACGTTCCCCCCTCCCTGCATCTCCTTGTATCAAGTTTAGGCCTAATGTGGTTCGAGCAAGATTGTCCCATCTAGTGTTCTACCTCTGCTGTGGATAAACAGAGCAATTAGCTCCATTAGTTTAACATTCCTGTGGAGAAGGTAATGTTAGCCTGCACTTTTGAAACTGAAGTTCAAATTCAGGAAATGTTTTTTAAAAGAAAACCACACCTCAAAAAATGAAGGGAACACGTAAACAACACAGTATAACTTCAATCAAAACAAACTTCTGTGAAATCAAACTGCCGTAAAAATGGAATAGAAAACAGGTGGAAATTATTGGCAATTAGCAAGACCCACTCAATAAAGGAGTGGTTCTGCAGGTGGGGATCACAGACATCTTCTCTGCTTTCTGGATGATGTTTTGGTCACTTTTGAAACTTGGTGGAACTTTCAAACTCATGGTAGCATGAGACAGACTCTACAAACCACACCAGTGACTCAGGTAGTGCAGCTCAAAGGATGGCACATCAATGCCAGCTTTGGCAACAAGGTTTGCCGGGACTGTTAGCATATTGTCCAGAGGCTGGAGGCTCTACTGGGAGACAGGCCAGGACACCAGGAGATGTGGAGGAAACCTTAGGAGGGCAACAATCCAGCAGCAGAGCCGCTACCTCTGACTTTGTGAAGGAGGAACAGGAGGAGCACTGCCAGAGCCCTGCTAACTGAGCTCCAGCAAGCCACAAATGTGCATGTGTCTGCACAAATGGGCAGAAACCGACTCCATGAGGATGGTATGAGGGCCTGTCGTCCACAGATGGGGGTTGTGCTCACAGAGCGACATCACGCAGGATGCTCAGTATTTACCACATAACACCAGGATTGGCTAATTCTCCACTGGAGCCCTGTGCTCTGCACTGATGGGGAGGGCCCATCAGCCCTCCATGTGCTCCCCAGAGGTAGCATGACTGCCATTGGGTACCCAGAGGAGATCATCTGACTCCTAGTGACCATCTGCTGGTGCTGTTGGTCCTGGGTTCCTCCTAATGCAGGACAATGCTAGACCTCATGTGGCTGGAGGGGGTCAGCAGTTCCTGCAGGATGAAGGCATTGAAGCTCTGGACTGGCCCGGCTGTTCCCCAGACCTGAATCCCATAGAGATCATCTGGGACATCATGTCTCCATCCATCCACCACTGACTGTCCAGGAGGTGGAGAATGCTTTAGTCCAGGTCTGGGACGAGACCCCTCAGGAAACAATCCCCCTCCTCATCAGGAGAAACCCAGGTGTTGTAAGGAGATCATAGAGGCAGGTGGAGGCAACACACAATACTGAGCCTCATTCTGACCTGTTTGAACGACATTACATCAAAGCTGGATCAGCCTGGAGAGTTTTTACACTTTAATCCAAATCCAGGCATCTATTGGTTGATAAATTAGATTCCATTGATGACTTTTCTGTGATTTTGTTTTTTAGCACATTAAAGTTTTTAAAATTTTTATTCATTTAGATCTAGGATATGTTATTCAAGTGATCCCTTTCATTTTTTTTTTCCGGGTACGATCAAAAGGTAGAAAATCAACTCACAAAATATCTGGTAGATTTATTCCTTGCAGGCTGCAACAAAAAGTGAGTCACTGTTATTAGGTTGAGGATCACTACATGGCAGCATACACACTTCACAGCACAAGCACTGCTAACACACAATAAATCAAAAACTCTTCAGAACAAGCCCCCGAGGTCCCACGGACACAAAAGATTAAAGAGCCAGAGGGTCACAAGACGAAACTGGAAATCCTACTTTGCTGCCAAGTAGATGAAACATTCAGTTTCTACCAAACTAAAGGTGTACTGTAATGTTTCGATCACAAACACAATAAAAACTAAATGAGAGTATCATGCAAAGAACATAAAACAGAGCAAATTCCTGATAAGCTCCACTAAATGACATCGACTCTGACAGACACAACATTTCAGCACCGCTGTCGGCATTTAGACGGTGATCCGTGTCCGTCCAAACTACAGGTCTTCATCTTGACTTGTAGGACCAAAGGCCCTTAGGACCAGTATGGCCCTGTCTAAGGAGGTCCAAAAGATTCTAATGAGCCTCCTGGGATAAAAGCTGAAAATCTATTTAAAAAGAACAAAAAGCCTTGTCCTTTAAAACACAATAAATCAAAACTATTTCTGACATCACATCCGACACATTCTGGGAATAAATATTTCATGACAGTCCACTCATCTTTCTTTATAGCGGCCCTGGGGACATAGAAAAAAAGGACACCTGGAGGGAAACATAAAGAACAGCTGGAGGAACCATGATGGACACTTGTTGGACACATGGAGGACACATAAAGGACAAATGGAGGACACATGTTAGACACATAAAGGATAGATAGAGGAAAGATGGAGGGTTAGGACAGATGGAGGACACATGAGGGACACATGTTGGACAGATGTAGAACACATGTTGGACAGATGGAGGACACATGTTGGACACTTGTTGGACACATGGAGGACACAAAGGACAAATGAAGGACACATGTTGGACACATGAAGGACAGGTAGAGGACAGATGGAGGACACATGAAGGACACATGTCGGCACATTTTGGACACTTGGAGGACACATGAAGGAAACATGGAGGAAAACTGGAGGACACATGGAGGACACATAAAGGACAAATGAAGGACACATGTTGGACACATGAAGGACAGATAGAGGACAGATGGGGGACACATGAAGGACACATGTTGGCAGATGGAGAACACATTTTGGACACTTGGAGACACATGGAGGAAACATGGAGGAAAACTGGAGGACGCATGGTTGAGGGATGGGGTTAGGAAAGATAGAGGAAACATATTGGACAGATGGACACATGAAGGACACATGTTGGACACATGTTGGCAGATGGAGAACACATTTTGGACACTTGGAGACACATGGAGGAAACATGGAGGAAAACTGGAGGACGCATGGTTGAGAGATGGAGGGATGGGGTTAGGAAAGATAGAGGAAACATATTGGACAGGTGGACATATGAAGGACACATGTTGGACACATGTTGGCAGATGGAGAACACATTTTGGACACTTGGAGGACACATAAAGGAAACATGGAGGAAAACTGGAGGACACATAAAGGACAAATGAAGGACACATGTTGGACACATGAAGGACAGATAGAGGACAGATGGGGGGCACATGAAGGACACATGTTGGCAGATAGAGAACACATTTTGGACACTTGGAGACACATGAAGGAAACATGGAGGAAAACTGGAGGACGCATGGTTGAGAGATGGAGGGATGGGGTTAGGAAAGATAGAGGACACATGTTGGACAGATGGACACATGAAGGACACATGTTGGACAAACAGAGGGCAGATGAAGGACACATGTTGGAAAGATGGAGGACAGATAGAGGACACTTGTTGGACACATGGTCAGACACTGGTTCTGATGTTCTGATCCAGGATATCACTCTTTAGCTTTTACAGGAGGAAATTTAACCTTTTTTGAGTTTTAAACATGGCTTTGATCTGCTGCTGTTCTCCATGAGCCCGCCCATAGTTCCTGCTTCCTCTGATGCTGGGATGGTACCAGCTTCTGGTCTCCATGGAATTAAGGCTGGTCAGCTCATCAGCAGTCAACCAGTTATTTTTTAAAGGTCCCTCAGACTTAGACTAGGACAACCATAGAAATATCAGCAGCCTCAGTTTTATTAGAGGTAGACCAATTGGTGGAATCTGAACTGAAGTGCTGAAGAACCTGGAATAAAACCAGTGAAACATGGTAGTCTTGGAGGACAGCAGGTGCTTAATGTGAAGACCTGTAGTGTGGACCAGCAGCTGCTCTGCCATACATACGTGTTCTCACAGAGAGGTACCATCCAGGCAGGTACCGAGAAGCTGGGCATCTGTGGCAGCGTGAGGGGAAGGCTGGGGACTTTAGGGAGAGGAACGTTGGCTAGATTGTTAGTTAACAGTCTGCTGGGGCCAAACCAGTGAAAGTGATGGTTTGATGAAGTACAAGAAGACAAAACAGAGGAGAGAGAAGAGCAGAGAGAGAAACAGTGAAACAGTTCCCTTCATCACAGCAGCTGATCCTGCATCCAAGGCCTTCATCTGATCTACTGGGCCTAGATCTGTCTGCTTCTGTTTAATATTTAGAAGAAGATTCTTTAAAAACTTTGCTGTTTCTGGATCAGATCAGCTTCACAATGTGAGGAATTCATTAACAGTAAAAATGGAGCATTAAAGTCGTAGTCTGTTCCAACCGTTGCATTTCTGAATTCTCCCGAGGGGCGTCCGACTTTACAGGAGTGGATAAAGTGAATGTGATTGGTCGATTATCAAGGGGGCGGGATTGTTGTGGCAGAAAGTTCACAAGCAAGTCTGGTTGTGGCTAGTTTGTCGGAAGCATCTTGCTAACCAGTTAGCAACTTAGTGCTACTTGGTCCCAATGGGAAATTCCATTGGGATTTAACCAACCGTTAAATCAACGGTTGGCTGATTTAAATCATTTCAGAGCAGCAGGAACCAAACAGCCACACGAAAAGGAGGCTAATGGCTAATCTTCAGATCCACCGATCTAAGCTGACTAAAACACAGAGAAAGAGCCAATAGAGAGCAACCATGGCTGCTTTGAGGATATCAGGGAGTCTTACCTGACTGACTGCCAGGTCTCCTGCTCGAAGCCGCGGTGGATGGACTGGGCGATGGACGTCTCCATGAGGTCGATGTAGCGCACCACCAGAGGCACAAACAGATCCTGCAGGTGTTTATGGAACGGTCCGTTGCAAAGTTGAGCTGAGGGGCGGGAGCAGCAGGAGACAAGGAGAGACAATTCTGTTTGATTTACAGAACATTTCTATAGAAACTGGAACATAAATAAATAAATAATAAATAAATAAATATGATGACAAACAAGAAGCACAACCTTCTTTCACAATTTAGATGATCTGAACAACAGAAACCTTGTTCTAAGCTGAGATCCACTGTCACCAAAATACTAAAGTCCTGCATGGTTAACAAGTGAACAAAATGAATCCGTTGTTCCATCCTGGACACGCCAAGTTTATTCAAACTGTTTCTGTCCGTGTGGTTCCATCTGCCTGTTTAGCAGATCTAACATCTAGATCTAGCAGATCTGATGGTTAAGAGGTTCTCAGGACAAGCAGTACCACGAGGAACCCAGCAGACTGGTCAGCTTTCAGACCCAGAGCTCCGATCCATCATCATCTGAAGGTTGATGCTGCTGACCCACCCAGGATGAGGACGGCGTTATTCAGGGAGCCGGTGTTCTGTCAGCGCGGCATACCGCGTCAGGCCTGCATACCCTCAGTAATATGCATGCGTGTATGATCGTTATTAGAGGTTATCAGTCCCATAGAATGGCTTCAGATTGTGCCAGTGGGCTCATTAAGTTGTAATCACCGAGTGAATCCTAATCCTAACCCTAAAGTCATTCCTTTTCCCCCAGGAAATTAAGAATAAAATAATAAATATAATGAATAATAAAACAATCTGCATGTCGTTCATATTATACAAACTAAAAACAAAATAAATCTTATATCCTGTCACTGAGTTGTAGAACCCTCTCCCTATAAATATTTGATTCTCTGTGAAAAAAAATGCCGATCATTCTTAATAAGATCCTCATCTAACGGACATGCAATGTTTGTTTTTAAACTAATGTGTGTGGTGGACTTTCTTTGTTTTATGCACAAAACGACGACAAAATCCTGACTAAACCGGGAAATAAAACAGTGACTGTCTGTAAGGAGAGCAGGGGTATGCCGGCCTGACGCCGTATGCTGAGCTGACAGAACAGCAGAGAGGTAACAGCATCAGAAAAGTGTTGTATAGTTGAGTACTTTATACTTTCCAAGAGTATACATTTTTTTGAGAACTTTCACTTTTACTTCACTACATTTACGAACTTAATTGCATAGTTGTACTCTGACACATTTTTAATTTTTGGTTTAGTTACTAAGTAAAAAAAGAAACAAAAACGAGCGAGAGAGTGAAAGAAACGCAAGTGTTTTGACCCCACCTACTGACTACAAAGTCGGGTCTTGCCTGGGATTGTTCATCAACACCAATAGGATACGCCTGTTTCAAAGCCAGTCTAAATGTATCCTACACTTGGTTCTTTATATCATTTTAAGTGAATTTAACCTTCAGAGTTTACCAAAATGTAAACAAATGTCATTCAAACTGCACTTACTTTTTACTTATACTTTTCACTACATTACTTGAGTACATCTATTTTTACAGTAATTCTTATACTTACAAGTACAAGCCATTTCAGATACTTTAAGACTTTTACTCAAGTAACATTTCAAGTCAGTGACTTGGACTTTTACCAAAGTCATATTTTGGAGAGGTACTTATACTTTTACTTGACTCTGAGATTTCAGTACTTTATACAACACCGTATCAGAGTATAAACACAGATAATTATCAGGAAGAGGGAATCGGCTCAGACTGCTGGAGACCTTTAATCAGCTGTAGCTACGGTGCCATCAGGTGTCTTTTTCCCAGCAGTGACAAAAAACTCCAGAAAAATTAATTAACCTTCCTGAAGAGCTGAGAGATTAGATGTTTATAAAAGTGCATCTACTTCTCTGGATTTTAGCTTATTTATTATTATTAAATTGAATTAATCTAATTCTTTTTACTTTTATTTTTATCTATTCCTTATTATTTTCTTTCTGCTTAAAGGAAAAGTCCGGTCATCCATGTTTGTCAAAGATCACTACTGCCACCTACTGGTTTGTGACGTCACGGTGCGGTATCGGCTGTTGATCAAGTCCCAGTGCTGTATCTGGTGTTTGTCACAACGCGCTATTATCCAAGTCATCTTGAAAACATTCTTCTTCCAAATGTTGGCTACATATTACGTGTTTTTTCTCTGGCCAGAAGTTCGATGGCAAATCCTCCCTCTTCAAGTTGGCAATCCAACGACCAACCCGTCCGTGGAGGATCAGGAATCAGAAAGGTGGAATAACTCTTTCATTTTCACTTTTACTCGATGTATTCCAGCATCCAGCTGCCATGCACGTGGGCATTGTCAGTTTCACTATAGCTCTGGTGAATTTCAATGGTGAAGTCCTCTGGAAATCTTCAATAATTGTTGTTGATTGCAGATGTGTCTAGTAGTTCCCATTGATTTAGCTTGTAAAGCAGGGAGAATGGCGCTAGGCTTACCGCACCGTGACGCCACTGCTGGAAGATGGCAGGAGGGAGGGGTTATTATATTTGGGCGGAAATGGCCGCTCCCAGACTCAGTGATCTCAACGAAAATTATTGTTTTTACAGAATTTTTTTACTGATTAACGCTAAATTCATTAAATCACCACAAACGTATTAGTTTTACGTCTAAATAATGATTCATTGATTATTCCTCGCTGACCAGACTTTTCCGTTAAGTCCGTTAAGAAATTTTTTATGTTGTTCTTTACTACTTGAAAAATTCACATATTTTATAAAAGTAATAATTATCTAATATTGCATATGCTCTAAAATGTATTCATTCTACATAACTTTAACTGCTAATTGTTTAAACATGTAATTGTTGGAAATCAACCAACTGAAGGAAAGTTTTAATGGTTTATTTGTAGGACTGATGAGTCGGAGCTGATATTTCAGAACCACCTGAAGCTCCGGCTGAAATCTTTGATTGGAGCCTGATTTAGAGCAGATAAATATCGGCATCATACGTTAACTTGTGGGAGGACGGCTGTGTTCAGATCGAGATTGTTCACACATTCAGCAACAATAAACCTGGTTTATTCATCTGCAATCTAACATGCAGGAGATTCGACCTATTTACAGCTAAAGGACTGAAAAAGAGAACACCAGCAGCAGCTAACGTAACAAATGACATCATCCCTTCTTGCTAGGGTGACCCCCTGCTAACTGAACTATTTCTTCTAAAGACTCAAGGTCTCACTTTGACATAAAGGATCAGCCTTCATTAGAGACGCTACTAGAGATAAAAAGGAAGATGTAAATAGGGTCTTCCAGCGTCAGAAGGGGGAAAAAGAAACTCCAGATCCTAATGGCGGCTACCCTTTCTGCCAGGAAACCAGTACTGACCAAATAACTCTTCTTCTTCAGCCATTTCTTTAACAGAAACCTAAAACAGGTTAAGTTCCCTCCCTGTTTTAAAAGCTCCTTCATCCTAATTCCTCAGAAACATGCAACAAGCCTTACTGACTGCAGGCCTGTTGCTCTGACATCAGTGGTCATGATATTCTTTGAAAGTCTGGTGCTGATGCATCTAAGGAAAACCACAGGCCCCCGATTGGCCCCCTGGTTGGCTACCTGATTGGCCCCCTGCTATTCGCATATCGTGCAAACAGGTCAGAGGATGATGAGTCAACGTGGGTCAACAAATGGTTCTGCAGGACCTCAGGGACACCAACCATCCTCCAAGGATGCTTATTTTTCACTTCCTCTATCCGACCAATGGATTTACAGACTTTAAGTTTAACATACATGTCTATCATGCTGGGGGGGGACTTGTACGACGACGTGTTTCTGACAGGTTCTTGTGATAAAACAACAGAACCTCTGCAGAAACAAAGTCCAATATTAGAGGAGAAATTCTGCAAACAAGCTTGATGCTTGGGAGTAACAGTCAGTCATGCCCCCCCAATCCCTCTGCGGGTTTCAGGCAGACAAATAACTCTTTGACAGACTGTGCCAGCCCACAGAGAGACCAGGGGAAAGAGTATTGGGTGAGAAGCGAGCAAGCCGGTCTCCCAGGACTTCATTAGTTTTAATTCCTTTCGCTCTGCTCCATCATAATTAACACTAGCCTTTTTGCCCTCCAGAGACTGAAACTTGCCTCCACCATAACTGTTCGCCTTCACATGTTGACAATCAAGTGAGCATTTAAATAATCAGCAGAACGACGGAGGGGCAGCACGCTTTGAATCACACAACAGGAAGTCAGCAAAGATCAGCCCACTGCTGGACAACGCTGAGATTTCAAAACAAAAACTATCTATAAGATTTAGGAGGAAAAAACCCCCACCAGAACTGGTTTTAAACACGTCGTTTTGGTCTCATTCTGTTAATAATTACAGGAAGCAGGACCTCATTTGTGCAAAACCAGCTTGGCCCATGTTTTGTCTCCTTCGGTCACGTTCCAAATCAAGATGGCTGTGTTGTGACACTTGGAATAATTACAGCCTGAGCAGAAGATGGTAATTAAACAGAATATAGGAGGCGGGCTACGAAATGAGATTTGTTGGTTGTCTACAGGTTTTCCTTGTTCCCAGCATTGCCCTGGGCTGTCTGTCTATCTGGCTGCCCGTCTCATACTGTAGAGGAGACGCTTGGGCAGCAGCCATGTTAAATAACGCCTCGCTTCTCGCCAAATCTCTGCTGGCTCACAGACAAAGTGCTAAATACGACGAGCACGTTTTGCTTTCCCATCCGACCGATCCACAGTTGATGCTACGTTTTGGTGCGCCGGGATAAAACCACATCAGCGCCTTGTGTGTCGGCGTCTCTGATTGGACCTTGACTTTGTTGCCCTGCTGGAGGTTTTACTGATTTGTTTTCTGCACAGAACTTTCTCCTTTCATTCTTCATTATTTGCAGCTGCTGTTTTGCATCAGAACCTCAAAGTCAAAGAAGATTTTTCCGAGGTTCTCTTTCACCTCCCTTATTTAATATTTCTTTTTGGAACCTTTTTTTTTTTAAACATACTGTTGATTTCTATTTGCCTTAAAAAATCCTCAAGTTCTTTGGAGGTTTAAAGTGAAAATCTGAAGCAGGAAAAGCGGCCATGGTTGGAAATTCCCCATCAGCTTTCCTTGTTCTTTATTTTAATTAAGCAACCAATTTATTTTGTCAGCTGGGAGCAGATCTTAACATTAATGGACTATTTCCTCTAATCCATGCAGGATCAAATAGAAAGCTCACGTTTCCAGCCTCATGTCTGTAGATCACTGGATCGGTGCTGCTGTCAGGAACTGAACACCAACCAAACCTCACTGAAGCAGCTCCCTTCTGCAGATCATTAGCTTAATGCTTTAATGTGACAGAAGCTGCTCTATGAACTGATCAGGATTGTTCCTTATGTTCCTAACAGAGCACTTCGCTCTCAATCTGCAGGTTTACTAGTGGTTCCTAGAATTTCTAAAAGTAGAATGGGAGGCAGATCTTTTAGTTATCAGGCTCCTCTCCTGTGGAACCAACTACCAGTTTTAGTCCGTGAGGCAGACACCCTGTCTACTTTTAAGGCTAGGCTTAAAACTTTCCTTTTTGATAAAGCTTCTAGTTAGAGTGGCTCAGGTTATCCTGAGCTATCTCTATAGTTATGCTGCTATAGGCTTAGACTGCTGGAGGAAGGACCCCTATTTCATCATTCTGCTTCATTCTATCTCTATTCTCCCACTCTGCAGAATCTGTTAGTTCAATCTCTAACGTTCTGCTCTCTCTGCTTTTTCTCATAGTAGCTTCATCTGGTCTGTTCCTGTTTGGCTGTGACTCCATTCTGGAGAGAAATATCAGCTGTGCTGCTGCCATCAACACCTTTGTTTCTGGATGTTGGAGCTTGGCCTGTTTTTCAGTGTAGTCCTGTTTCTCTGACTGTGACTAACTGGATGTGTTCTCTTCATCCTCTGACATGGGAGCTGGCTTGGAGCTCGTCTGCCTGGCTGTGTGTTTCCTGGACGGGGCCGCCTGTGGAGCTGGTTGACAGTTGCCTTTTGTATCTATGCTTCTTTTTCTATGTCTGCTTCCGTCTCCTTGAACCCCAGTGGGCCTCAGCAGATGGCCGCTCACACTGAGCCTGGTTCTGCTGGAGGTTTCTTCCTGTTCAAAAGGAGTTTTTCCTCTCCACTGTCGCTACAAGCATGCTTAGTGTGAGGGATTGCTGAAGAGTCAATGAGTAGTTGCAATCAGCTGGTTTTCCTTAGATAGAAAACTTTGAATCAATCTGACTGGATGATCTGGTGAACTGGAAAGTGCCTTGAGATGACGTGATGTGAATTGAAGCTATAGAAATAAACTGAATAGAATTGAATTGATTTAATTGACAGATCTCCCCCAACACACCCACACACTTACGATCTGAGCGGAGGAAGTTGTTGAGGAGCTGAAATACAGGGAAGCTGTTCCAGGAATCGACCGGCTGCACCTGCAGAGCAGAATCCATGTGGGCTCCGTACAGAGACAGAAATGTCTCGGCGTGTTCGGCCATCAGCTCCGGCCACCAGGAGAAAGCCTGAAGAGAAGCAGATAGGGACATCAGACGGTGAGGAAGCGTGACAGTTTAACACTAAATGCATCCATATTGTCTGTTTGTTTACTCGTCTGCATGTTTCCAAGCTGCTGAGGCTTAGATGGATGTTTTGAAAATGAACAGCTTTGAGGATCGAAGGATCATCAGGTTAGTTTGTTGACAGAAGTAGAGACTGAAAAGGTGCGTTTAAAAGGCCGACTGATTCATCCTTCAAGGCCACGAGCAGCAGGCGCCGCTGCCACTCATCCCTCTGCCTCACATCTCCGCTTCATTTTCTCCCTTCATCAAAGAGACAAACTGACCTCTGGGCCGCAGCGCGGCTGAATGCTGGTTGCACTTTTCTCTTAGACGTCCTTTAGCTCTCAGAGGCACAGGTCGCTTGAGCAGGCTGACCTGGGTCAGCCGGAGAACCACATTACCCTCCATGTTCTTTAGAAAAATGGCATCAACAAGTACTTTCACAACAGCATCTGCAAACTGCTTTCACCTGAGCCGCTGGCGGCGGGAGCCAGAGAAGAAGCCTCCTTCATTTAGATGTTTTAAAAGAAACATTTTACTGAAACATCAACCTCTTTTAAGACGCAGCTCGAAACGGCAAAGAGACTTCTGACACCTTTCAGGGAAAACGTCTATTTTATGTAAATGTAAAGGATGATGCTCCATCAGCGGCTGAATGCTCGCTGACCCTATGAGCCAGATTTTTCTCCATTTTTCAGTGCATTCTGAACCTCAACCTTCAACCTCATTAACTGAACGGTTTAGTCGCCTTCAGAAACATTAACTCTGACTGTCGCCACATTATTTGGGGTTCAGAGGAAATATGTTTCCTTCTTAGATAAAATAAAAATTACAGCCCTAATGTTGAGCTCCAGTAACTGCTGAAGACTAGATGAAAATGTTGATCATTTCTGCAAAGATTTAGGTAACGTGAGTACGGACTTGTGTCCTCACCAAGTATCTACATAAGTACAGATGTGTACTGATGAGATCACCACACACTCTACTCGTCTGAGCTTCATTTCACCTCCTGTTATTAATAGTTTCTAGATAATACAATATGACTTTTTTCATTTAGTGGGGGAATAATAATGAACACAGTCAGATAAACACAAATCAAATTAACATTTAGTCAAAATAAAACAAAAACCTGCCATGAGAACTATCTGGCCGCTGCAGACGGGCTAACATTAGCCCTGACCGCTGCAGACGGGCTCACGTTAGCCCTGACCACTGCAGACGGGCTAACGTTAGCCCTGACCGCTGCAGACGGGCTAAAGTTAGCCCTGACCGCTGCAGACAGCCTAACGTTAGCCCTGGCTGCTGCAGACGAAGTTTAAAGTATAATGTTTCCTCTTCAAATAAACTTAAACCGTACTTTTACAGAGCAACAACAACAGAAAAGATAACTGGAAGCTGCTGCTGCCGCAGTGCATGCTGGGACAGCTGTCAGTCTGGAGAATGGACAAGTCTGCTCTGATGCATGCTGGGTAAAGAGGGAGGGGCCAGAACTACATCCGGGGACTTTGTCTGATCTCGTTCTGCTGTTCTTTTGAATTGGAACAGCACTAGGGCTGAGGCTGATGACGTTTCACAAGGACACGAGAACGCACAAGTACGCAGATTGAGAAACAGCCTTAGATGAGGACTATGACTAGGCCATTCTAAGCTAGGAATCCATCCATTGCATCTCTTGTTGGATGATTAGTGGAGGATAAACCTGCAGCCTGGTCTCAGATAAGATCCATCCTGTTGATGCTCTTTTTGGTGGAACTGTCCGACCAAGGTGGTTCTGAAGTTACTTTGGTCAGTATGGTGTTTTTAATAAGGAGACACAAAGATGGTGGGTTACCAATAAATCCAAACTCTTCAAAAAGTCAATTAAAGAAAAGTAATTTGCTTCCTTTTTTATTCCTGTTAAAAGTATTTTTTTTCCCACACCCTGGTTTGTTCTTTTATCAAAGTGACGCTTGTTTTTCACACAAAAGGTAAAAACTAGAAATCTGAGAAATTGTAAAGTTTAAAAAAAGGGAGAAAATATAGAAAGATTTAACAAATAGATCTCAGAAAAGAACAGAGAGAAATTGTAAAGAGAAGAAAAAATGGAAACATCACAGAGGGACAATATGAAACCCCAGAATAAAAGGAACAGTGTTAGAAGAGAGACGATGACTTCCAGACGAGGCCGAGAAAGAAAAGATGAAATGAATGAATGGTTGATTTCTCCAACAAAGCAAAAGGTTTCCTGACTTCAAGGGGATTAGAAAACTGCTCTGAAAGAGCTAATTTGTTTGTATTCCTCCCAAGGACAAGATTCCTCCAGGGCCAACATTCACTTCTTTAATGACATTTCAAAGATGAGCATAAAGCTAATTACTAAATCACTTCAAAAAAATGTAAAAACACTGGGATTTATGAACTAATATAAATGTTTGGAGAAATCTGAAAAACTGGGCGGTTTAGTGACATGAAAGAACAAAAGGCAGGATGGAGATGATGAACTTACCTCTCTCCCCTTCACAGAGCAGCAAGGTAAAAAGATGGAAAGATTAAAAAAGCAGATGAACCTGACCTTCCCTAAATAACTTCATCCTCAGTGGCCTAAAGGGTCAGATCAGGTATCTGAGACAAAAAAGCAACATTTTCAATTTCCTGTAAGACTAAAGCAACAGTCCGGAATACTTTCAGCTTTTAAAAGCTTTATTAATTCAGCTTAACTGAGATTATAAAGGAATCAGAGATGTTTGAGTAGAGACAATGGAAGAAAACATACTGTACAGATTTGAACCTCTAACTAAATGAGCAATTTGTGCTTATGAGCTAAAGCAGCTAAAGGAGCTAAAGCAGCTGATGAGCTAAAGGAGATACTGAGCTAAAGGAGCTAATGAGCTAAAGGAGCTAATGAGCTAAATCAGCTAATGAGCTAACGGAAATACTCAGCTAAAGGAGCTAATGAGCTAAAGCCGCTAATGAGCTAAAGGAGATAGTGAGCTAAAGGAGATAATGGAGCTAATGAGCTAAAGGAGCTAAAGCAGCTAATGAGCTAAAAGAGATACTTAGCTAAAGGAGCTAATAGAGCTAAAGCAACTAACGGAGCTAAAGCAACTAACGGAGCTAAAGCAGCTGATGAGCTAAAGGAGCTAATGGGCTAAAGGACCTAATGAGCTAAAGCAGCTAATGAGCTAAAGGAGATACTGAGCTAAAGAAGCTGATGAGCTAAAGCCGCTAATGAGCTAAAGGATATAGTGAGCTAAAGGAGCTAATGGAGCTAATGAGCTAAAGCAGCTAATGAGCTAAAGAAGATACTGAGCTAAAGGAGCTAATAGAGCTAAAGGAGCTAATGAGCTAAAGCAACTAACGGAGCCAAAGCAGCTGATGAGCTAAAGGAGCTAATGAGCAAAAGGAGCTAATGAGCTAATGCAGCTAATGAGCTAAAGGAGATAGTGAGCTAAAGGAGCTAAAGCAGCTAATGAGCTAAAGGAGATACTGAGCTAAAGGAGCTAAAGGATCTAAAGCAGCTAATGAGGTAAAGGAGCTAATGAGCTAAAGCAACTAAAGCAGCTAATGAGCTAAAAGAGATACTGAGCTAAAGGAACTAAAGCAGCTAAAAGAGCAAAAGCAAGTAATAAGCTAAAGGAGATAATGAGCTAAAGGAGCTGAAGGAGCTAAAAGACATGAGCTAAAGAGGTAAACGAGCTAAAGAAGCTAAAGCAGATAATGGAGCTAAAGGAGCTAATGAGCTAAAGAAACTAAAGGATCTAAAAGAGTTAGAGGAGCTAATGAGCTAAAGAAGCTAATGCGGTAAAGAGACTAATAACCTGAAGGAGTTAATTAGGTAAAGAAGCTAATGAGCTAAAGGAGCTAATGTGACACAGTCACAACAAGATCGCTATAGATGAGTATGCCATGACTGTTTCAGCCTGCATTAACAAATGCATTGAGGAAGTCAGCATCACAAACAACATCACCATCCGGGCCAACTGACCACCCTGGATAAATGGAGAGGTTCGGAAATCGCTAAAAGCACCGAACTCAGCTTTCAACTCTGGTGATAAAGACGCACTAAGAACAGCGTGAGCCAACTTAAACCGTGCCATCAGATCAGCAAAGCAGAAGCACAGCCAGAAGATCCAGGATCTTTTCCATGACAACAGCAACATCGGGAGGATCTGGAAAGGCATTGGGATGATCACAGACTACAACACACCCTCCCCCCGGTAGATGCAGCAAACACTGACTTCCTAAATGAACTGAACAACTTCTTTGGAAGGTTTGAGGCACTAAACAGCCTCCAGCAGTGAAAGCTGTTCCACACCAGGGGGCCCAGAAGCAGATTCTGCAACAGCTTCTTCCCCACCGCCATTAGACTGCTGAACTGTTGAAACTCTAATCAAAATCTGCATCACACTGATGACATCATATTTGCTCTACCAAAAGGCTGATGTTGTTCATTATCACTTAAACCTATTAACAGCCACCTAATTTCTAGGAAATTCACCTATTTTGCAAACCCAAATGGAAAAGCAAATAACCGAGGAACTGTAAGCTCAAATGACATGTGTGATACATTATTTGAAAGCTAACATCCTCTAGTTTCTTAATATATATTTAATTGGGTGAGTAGAAAATAACCCAAGCTGCATCATTTTAAACATGACTCAAAGTTGTTCTTTTTATTCTCAAAAATAATAGGTATTTATTGCACAGCAATAATAAAGACATGCTTGCTTGTTGCGGCAGCTTTGTCATGTTTACATTTTGACATGCTGCTATATCTGTGTTAATTGTGCTTTGGTGCTCACTGTGTCCATAAGATCAACTACGTGGTTGAATTGTGGAGATTCTAAGCTTTCCAACGATGTCTAACAATGTTCATGCATCCTGAGCTATTAGTTGTAAAGGCTTTTAAAAAACGGTTCGCCGGCGACCCCAGCACACTGCACTAAACCTTCCATATCAATGCCTTTTGCACCATTTAAACTACCTTTAAACTAGTTTACCTTTTCTCCTACACTGTTAACATTCTGATCACTGTTGCACTTCATTTCATAGCTAAGCTGCTCATTCGCTGATGAAAGCTGTATGCATCCAAATTTCCTTTTGCATACATTCAGCATATACAAGATGACACTAAGCTATCTCTAAGTCGAATTGAGCTAAAGGAGCTACAGGCGCAAGGGGATTTCTTCATTAAAAACAACAGAATAGTGCCAATAATAAAACTCTGAAAGAGCAGCAGTGATGCTTGAAAGTAAACAGCCCAGGGAGGAAGGATCTGAGATGATGCGTCAGTGTGTCCCTGAGGGAGCGGCTCCATCCAGGAGTCGAAGGTGTTCAGGAGCTCCCCCTGCAGTCCAGAAGATCTCATGTTCTGTAAAGAGCATCGGTGTTCCGGTTCAGTCCAGTTCACGGTTCTGATGAACACCCAGATCTTTAGAGGAGTCTGGATGTTCACAGGTGTCGGTGAGGTGGGTCTGCTCCAAAAAGTCTAAGTCATTTTTTCTTGACTTGACCAGACTAAATGTGAGATTAAATGTGTAATTTAGTCTGGCCCTGATGAATGAGACATCGGAAGATTGTTGATGAGAACAACGCGTTGTTTTTCAAACTATGTCTGTGCCTATTGGCCAACGCTCTGACCAATGAGGGCAACTCACTGTGACGTAGGGAGTGCGATGGAAAGCTGGTGGGGGAGTGGAAACAAACAGCCTGTTGGTAAAACGGTGAATACGTCCTTCTCAAAAATGAATGCGCATAGAGCCTCTACCTGCTCACATTTCAACGAAAACCCAAAGTCTGATCCTTCCAAAACTGATTCCAAAGCTGAGTCAAACCAGAACAATAGTTGTTGACCTCTTCCTTGTTGTGCTTTCTCCAGCGTCGCGCAGCTTTGTCGTCACGTACTCAAAACCCCGCCCGCTTTGCATCCAAACATTCAAAACACATCTCTGCGTTGTGATTGGCCCGCCAGTTCTAGGGCCTGAGGCGTTTATTCAGCCTAGACCAATCGCAGGCAAAAATGATTTTGGCCGCTGGCGGGTGGGGCTAGTTCACTAGGCTAGAGGAAAGTGAGACATTTTGCCAATGGAACGAGACAATTTACATTTAAAATAGGAAAAAACACTGCTGTTGTATTATTTTTTATTCTAAGAGTAAAAATACTCATTCCATTGGCAAACTATCTCATTTACCAACTCAAATTAAGTGTAAATAAACTTAATTTATCCAGTGCATCAGGAGCCTCATGGATAAAGACCTGGTTTTGAGTGAAATGTCCATCTGAGATTCATCGGAGAAGCAGGTGAGGTCAACAAGCTGGAGAAACTCTGCAGCCAAAAATCCAGGTGAGCAGCGCTGCTGAACTTTGACCTCATCCTCCAGGTTAGTAGCCTCTTCTAACCAAACATTTCTTAGTTTTTTTTTCAAACATAGGATCTATAAAGCTCTATGAAACCATGATATCAGCACCTGAACTAAACCGATGACATCCAGGTGAGGAAGAAGGACCAAAGTTGGGGATTCAGCAAACGTCTCCTTGACAACCACTTCACCCACATAAACAGTTCTGATCTTTAAACATAAGCCATGGCAGCTCTATGGCAGATCTCTGACAGCATGCGAGTAATTTGAAGTTAACATAATTTCTACCGATTAGGAGAGAGAGCCTCTGGTTGCCATGGCAGCGGTGGAGCATGGTCTGATATTAATAGTGCAGAAACAGATGCCTGAGCGCCACGCTGCCACGAAGGGCCGATGGAACCAGCGCATCCTAACACCTATGATTGATCAGTTCTACCCTCTGGCATCCGTATGGGGGCGCATATGGGCCGTAGGCGTTGTTTTCATCGTGTCTCCGCTGCAGCCGTTAATGCAGAGCCGCCACTTGTTGTGTCATCTGCCACTTTAAGGCGAGCGCTGCCAAATGGAAACGAGACGGGTGGCGCCGTGAAAAGCAATCAGGAACATAAATGAAATGATTAAGTGAGTCGTGCCACTTTTATTGCTGCTGCTAGAAAAAGAAAGGAAAAAAAACACCACAGAGTTTCTGCTGCAAATGATTTCCAAGGTAAGAGATCCTTTCAGAGCGGAGCTGTACCTGCTGCACGCCGACAGGAGTCAGACAGCCTGTCAAACAGCAGGTCACACCTGTGCAGAGCAGGATTCCTGACAGGAACCGATGACCCCATGCTCCTCTAAGGACAGAGCAGCGTCCTTAGACTCCATGTTTCAGGCTCCTGTTAGCAGATAGAAAACATGGCCTCCTGGAACAGTGCTGTTGCACTTTAAGCTCAGTTTGGCTTTCCTTCTTTAACTAAAGGAACTTTTATCTGTTGAGGAATGAAAGCAGGACGTTTCTGAGCTGGAAAGTTTTCACCAGTTATGAAGTGAAAATGCTTTTTTGCTAGAAAAGACAGAATCTTTGTGCAGCTTCACACAGACTCACTTCTGATCCTGCTCCGTCAAAACAGCCCTGCATCTTATTTTGAAATGCTCCAGATCTACTTTACCCTTCCAGTAAGTCGTTGTAGGCCTTTATTCAGCTTTTCCTGCCTGAAAGCTCCTGGGATCCACCTACAGAGCCCATTCTACATCAGCTCTACATGGTTTATATCTATATTACTGTTTTATTTTATTTATCTTTATGTATGTGGGTTTTTTTCTCCCAAGAGGAAAGTAGTTAAGAACACCTCAGCATGATGCTCCTCATTCTGCTGCAGGACTTCGATGCACAGTTCGCCCAGCCTCAGCATGTCCTCCAGTCTTTTCTCCGGAGCTTCTTCTGGATCCACTGAGGTTCAGAACCAGAGAGAGAAGCTGTTAGATCGTTATTTTAGGAACCAGGGTCTCACTGCAGCAAACCTTTGCTCTCAGGGGGGACAAACAGGAAGAATTTGACCAGTTTTTACATCCTGAATATTATATCTAAAATCTATAAAATACAATTGAAAGATTTTCTGAAGGACAAACTCATTTTAAAGCATAAGTAGATGTATTGTTTGCGTAAAGCTGTAAACTGATCCATCTGACAGTGATGGAGAGAAGTCCCTAAACTGGAACAGGGTTTAAACTGTGGATAAAAAGACTCTGGTGGTGAAAACAGATGAGATTTGAGCAGAAGAAGCAGCTTGAAGGTTTCCCACCGTGGATCTGAGCGTAATCCATCAGCTGACTGTAGTTGATCTGAGCAGCCTTCTCCAAACATCTCTGGACGCGTCTCTTTGCCTCCTCTGATGGAGCAGCTGTGCTGATGTCTTTCATCAGAACCTGAAATTAAACATTTACTCACTTTTAGGTGACTAGAAAAATGAATTCGATAATTCTGGAAATGATTCCCTAGGGGCTAGACCCAGCAGAGTTGATGATTATTGTTTATCTGATCCATTCCTGTCTGCTGTCAGACCGACTCTGTACTACAGGTTAATCTGAGAAATGCATCCTAAGATTCTGCTGCTACTTTATTCTGCAGTTTGATTGGTCAGATTACAGATGTGTTCCTCAGGCTGCTGAAGAACGACTAAAATGACGGGAAATTTGACAAAAGGAGCTAAAGGAAACAGAAACGTCAAAATATGTTGGGTCAGACGTTGGTCACACCTCTACTGTGCAAGACCGAGGCAGACGGGCCGTCCAGGATCATCAGAACCCGACCCAGACGGTCGTCATGACAACCAGAGAGCAGACAGACTCCATCTAAACACGGCGTCTGTTTCTGCAGCTAGACCAGGGGTCACCAACGCGGTGCCCGCGGGCACCAAGGGGCCCTCAAGGACCACATGGGGGGCCATCAGAGTCTTCTGAAAACAGAAGAACTCACTCAGTGGGTTAAGTTTAATTTTTTTTTTTATTCTGTTGCTCTTCTTTTTAATCATTTATGTATTATTTCATCATGTTAACTATTTCATCATATTTCAGTGGTTTCAAAATGACAATATTAAAAAGAAAATTAGAAATGAATAAAAGGATGAGATTTACTGTAGGTGAACACTGATCCCTCCAGTTCATAGGTCAGTATTGGTAGCCCTTCCTATGACTCGGTAGCCATGAAGTAGCCCTCAGCCTTAAAAAGGTTCGTGACCCCTGAGCTAGACCAATAAACTGGGAACATTAAAACATCTACTGGTCCCAGTAAGGTTTCTCCTCCAGCTCTGAGTTAAAGGTGCATAATAAAGAGAATGGAATTTAGCAATTGGTCACTAATTAATGAGTGAACTCTTTAAAACGTGTAAGAAAACTAAACTAAACAGAAAAACAACTTCAGTGAAAGTGAAACACAGATTTAATGTAAAGAGAATTAAAAATTGATCCAGAGGTGAGGATCTAGGAAAGGTTTAAGTCAGAGTTTAATCATTACAATCAATAAAATCATATCTTGTGTATTTAGGATTTAATAATCTGTTTTTCACATTATTTAGCCGCTATAGACTTATATATAACTATTATTTATTGGACGATCCTATAAACTCGTAGGGATGATTTGGCGAAATATGGGGATTTTTTCAGCTGTCCGATATAATATCGATCTTTCAGTTCCTAATATCAATAAAAAAAATTCCTTAAAACAATGAGGGAAACTGCATCTCTAAACCCCCACTTTGCTAGATGGCGCTGTGGAGCCTTTATGCTGCGGAGCGCAGCGCCACCGCTGTAGATGAGGCAGTCACAGTGGAAGACGTGGACCGACAAACCCCAAACAACACGGATTCTGATCAACATCAACAGCACTTGATTTTTTATCTATACATTCCATTTTGATAGCTGGGTAAAATATCGTAATATATAGTGATATTGCGATATTTCTATTACTGTAAAATTAATAAATAAAACTTCGGAATTAAAGTGCAATGCAATTGCCTTCACTGCACTTTAATTGGGGAAGCTTCTGTCCAAGTTTTAGTTTTATTTATCCATTCTATAATAATAGCATTGTCTATTCTACACTTGCACTTCTAGTTAAACCTAAACTGCGTTTTGTTGCCTTGTACCTGTACCTGTGTAATGACAATAAAGTTGAATGTCACCTACCGTATTTTCGCGACTATAAGGCGCATATAAATGTCTTTTTTTTCCCTGAAAATGTGCGGCGCGCCCTATGTGCGTTGTTACTGCGGATGTTGTTGAGACCGCCATGAGAACGTTAAAGGGGGAAGTGTGGGCATGGACAGAAACTGGTGATTTTTAAGAGAAAGACTTTGCCTACAGAGACTTTTCCAGCTGGAGTCGTTATTAAGGCAAATGAAAAGGGCTGGATGGATGAGGAGATGAAAGAGTGACTGAGGGAGGTGAATGTGAGGAGACCAGGTGGTTTTTTCCACACATCACCATCGCTGTTAATCTGTGACTCCATGCGTGCCCATCTCACAGCCGATGTGAAAAACATGGTGAAACAAATGAACGCTGTGCTTGCTGTTATCCCGGGAGGTCTGACAAAGGAACTTCAACCGCTCGACATCGGTGTGAACCGGCCGTTCAAAGTAAGGCTGCGAGCAGCGTGGGAGCGATGGATGACAGACGGAGACCACAGTTTCACGAAAAGTGGAAGGCAGCGCCGGGCAAGTTACGCCACAGTTTGCGGATGGATTGTAGATGCTTGGGCTAACGCGTCTGCTGGCACTGTTGTTCAAGCTTTCGCAAAAGCCGGCATTATTTCTGAGGAGCCGCCCGGCACGGAAAGTGACTCTGACAGCGAAGAAGGGGAAATTGGCATGTCTGACTTAGTGCAGCTGTTTAATTCAGAAACAGACTTTGATGGGTTTGATTAATACTTTGTAATAAATACATGAATAAAGCACAGTCATTCTCATTTTTGCTCCCGCTCTATTTTTAAATACGCAGTAGAGGTATTTAAACATAGTAGAGGACATGTACCGGTATATCAAATCCGCGCCCTATAATCAGGTGCGCCTTATGTGTGTGTTAAATACAGTAATGGCACACATAACTGAGACTGCGCCTTTTAGTACGGTGCGCCTTATGGTCGTGAAAATACGGTACTCTAATCTTACAATAATATCGTATCGCCAACACTGACGGGGAGTCTGATACGAACAGCAAGGGAACCGTTACCTCTGCTAACTGGATTTTCCACTAAAGCAACAGAATATTTCATTTAAAGTTCTTCATCACGTCTCTGTGCATCACTCTGACTGGGCGGCTCTACACTCAGTCCAGGCGGCATTTTGGTGTTTTTCTAACAGCAGAACATTCCTCCTGATTTCTCAGTACAGGCCGAGAGAGATCAGTCTGCCACCATGGGGGCGAATAAAACCGGGGATGAGCTCCTTGGAAATCATCTCAGGGTTTGGTTAGGGAGCCGACTTTGAGTCCCTGAAGGGATCCTGACCAGAAACATTAAAAGGCATAAGACTTTGGTCTCTTACTCGTTCCAGAAGCGAAAGTGTTGCTTTCAAGGCCCCATCTGGTCGTCCAAAGGGAAAGCAGTACCTGCAGAGGAGAAACGTAGGTGGGCATCACATTAAGAAACAATCTCAAGGACAACTATGTGGAAAAAAAAAAAGAGACAAAGAAAGATTGGAAAGCTGGAGGAGCTCGGCGTAAACAGATGGCTGCCTTCTTTTGTCTAATTACTCTGATGAAAGGAGCTTTTCTCACCTCCGTCTCCATCTGAACACAGATGAGGCGGTTCATGAAGGTTTCACGTTGCTAATTGACAAGTGAACAGTACTTAATAAACAAAGGAAGGCGGTCACACAGGTCGGCCATTTATGAGACAAAAAAAAGCCCAGCATGCAGATGTTCTGTTCTGACGAACAGAAGTGAACTAAGCAGATAAAAAAAGAAAAAAAAAAAAAGCCATAATGTTTGTCTAAACATTCAGCATAGTCAGAAAGACAAGAGTTCATGATGTTCATTTCAAATGAAAAGCCCTGAAAAATCAGGAAAATGAAAAAGTTTATTAAAGGTATGCAATCATAATTCAAAAACACATTTTCATTCAGTTATTTTAACATTAAACTGTGATGATAGATTAGAAAATACGGTTTATCTTATTATTTATTCCCTTTAGATGAAAGCTGCCACATTTCTAAAGATCTAAAGTGGCTTCTTAACGTCACCATTACAACATTGATCAATAAAAAACACATCAACTGCCTGCAGTTCCCAGATAGCCGTCATCCATCTTTCATTTTCAACGTCTAAACCCTGAATGGAGCTGAAACAGATCAGCTGGTTGGTTCTACCAGTAGCTTTCTAGATCTAAAAACATAATTCTATGCACATTTGATGCCAAGTTTCTCTCAAATAAAACCTGGTTTAGGCATAAAAAGGAGCTAATTGTAAAGAAAAATCTCTGGCAGCCTCTATTTAAATTCAGATTTAGTCTCGACATATATTACATATTTAAAGAAAAAGTCCGGTAATATTCAGAATCCAAACTTCTGAAAGTTCTTTAAATAGGAAATTATTCCATCCTGTTCTTTAAATGATCAGAGTTTTTAATTCAGAGTAATTTTCATGTGAATGTGCTTTACTGGAGGCATCCATGTTTGTCAAAGAACACTACTGCCACCTACTGGTTTGTGACGTCACGGTGCGGTATCGGCAGTTGATCAAGTCCCAGTGCTGTATCTGGTGTTTGTCACAACGCGCTATTATCCAAGTCATCTTGAAAACATTCTTCTTCCAAATGTTGGCTACATATTACGTGTTTTTTCTCTGGCCAGAAGTTCGATGGTAAATCCTCCCTCTTCAAGTTGGCAATCCAACGACCAACCCGTCCGTGGAGGATCAGGAATCAGAAAGATTAAATAACTTTTTTTTCTCTCTTTTACCCGATGTATTCCAACATCCAGCTGCCATGCACGTGGGCATTGTCAGTTTCACTATAGCTCTGGTGAATTTCAATGGTGAAGTCCTCTGGAAATCTTCAATAATTGTTGTTGATTGCAGATGTGTCTAGTAGTTCCCATTGATTCTGCTTGTAAAGCGGGGAGAATGGTGCTAGGCTTACCGCACCGTGACATCACTGCTGGAAGATGGCAGGAGGGAGGGGTTACTATATTTGGGCAAAAATGGCCGCTCCCAGACTCAGTGATCATGATGTAAATTAGTGTTTTTATTTTTTTACGGATTAACGCCAAATTAATTAAATCACCGCAAACATATTAGTTTTAGGTATAAATAATGATCCATTTATTCTTTGCTGACCAAACTTTCCCTTTAATCAAACTTTGATTACCTTTAAGCCCATAAATTTGAAATAATTGGAAATCAAATATACCAACAAACATCTAAAACATTTAAATTCCTCAAAGGAGCGAAACTCTCTTCCAAATGATCTCCGGTTGGATTTCCTTATGGACTAAAATATGACGTAGAAACAATAACAGGTAATAAAGCACAAACACATCGTAATAACTTTAGAGTAAGGCTGAACCGTTCCACCTGAAATCCTCATTGCGTTCATTTTATATTTTATCTAGATTTGTCCTTTGAAAGCAGAGTCCATCGTTAGAGGATTTTACTGTAACCTCTGTGTGAGAACGTTGGATCTGCCTGCTAGCAAACCATTTTTCAGCATATCAGAACGGCTGTTAAAGGTCATGCGACCAGAGAATAGATGTCTGTTCACACTTTGACCTCAACTTCAGGAAACACTGAGAATTCGGACTGGATAAGTGGACATTAAAGTATCCAGTAATTGGCGTTGGTTTGAAAGGACGGCCTCCAGAAGGCAGAGCATCCTATTAGCATCAGACCGGATTTATCCGCACTAAATAAGAAAAAACTAATATAGCATCCCAAACTTTCCTTTAATGTGTTTATTGAGGAAGCTGATGTGGTCGTAATGACTCGATGCACAGGCCTCTGCAGCAACAACAGCTGGAACTGCCTGGAGAAGGTTTGGTGAGTTCAGGGAAACCTTCGACCTGTTAGGAGAAGATTCCAGAGGAGAGCCTGGATCCCTGCCTTTAACCCTAAAGGTGTCTGACCCACCAGAAATCCTGTCTGCAGCATCACTCATGGGGTAAGAAAGAGAATGTCACAATTCGGAAAAACAAAATGGACCAGAAAGTGACATGAACTCATTGGGATTCTTTCCTGACACGGTCTTCCAGCTCAGATGTTAAACTTCCAGATTCTCCACAACTGAAAGGCTGGAAGCGGAACGCACGGCAGCCATGAGACGGGATGAAAGGATGGAAATATATGACATTCCCATTAGAAGATGAAGAATGTCTTCTTCCAGGACTCACAGGCAGAACAGATGTAATCAGTAGATTATCTTTTAATGGGGGAATAAAAGAATTAAAGCCGTCGTTAACATTTAATGTGATTTTTTTGTGCTCACTAATCTAAAGCAAACTGTGGAAATCCTGTTTTTGTCTGGGGGAACATTAGCCTAATCCCAGCACTGTCTACGCCATTGTTTACCACCATTAGCCTCTTGCTGAGGTGAGCTAGTAATGACTCCCGCTGCCAGCCCCCCCAGGCGGCCCCTCCTTTTTGCCCTAGGGCCAGATGGAGGGCCCCTCTGAGGCATGAAGTGTTTAAAGTGCTAAGCTTCAGAATATTCAATGGCACAGGTCCATTCAGACGAGTGCTGCTCAAGGTCTCGGGGCTGTTGCTTTCACACCGCGCTCACAATGAGTTCACAGAGCGGCGGCGGCGCTGAATGGCCGCACACAGACGCTAGGAGGTCTGAACAGCCACTGAGCACCAATCTCCTGCACCTGTTTAGTGTCAGCGATGGGGCTGGAATACCCCCACTGCTCTATGGCCACACAGCAGAAATCACTCAACTTAGGGAAGTTTTGCTCAGGAGACAAAGATTGTTTTTCTTTTGGAAACGTGAAATAAGAAAACAATGAAGTGAATCTGGGGACACGGTTCATAATAATAACAATGGGAGATAAATCCCTGTAGGCCAGGCTAACAGTCATTGGTTAGCAGACATCAGGTGGAGTTATGAAGAGTTTCTCAGTGGATTCTCTGTCTGACAATCCTGAAAGCTTCCAGAAATCTGGACTCCTCCTGTTGAAAAACCTTCACCTCTTCCAGATGGTTCTGAACATGGCTGTAGGAGTTCCACATCAGTGGGTCAACGTGTTTAGGAGCCCTTCTGTTCCAGTAGATGATGAGGATCTTCAGACCATCAGTATCAGTACTTTTCAGAGTGTCAAAACTATTCTGAGATTAGTACTTTTCAAGGTATCAGTACTTTTCAGAGAATCAATATTTTTCATTCATCCATCCATCCATCCATTATCTGACACGGTTGTCCCAAGTGGGGTCGCGAAGGGTGCTGGTGTCTATCTCCAGCAGTCAATGGGCGAGAGGCGGGGTACACCCTGCACAGCTCGCCAGTCAATATTTTTCAGAGAATCAATATTTTTCAGAGTACCAGTACTTTTCAAAGTATCAGTACTTTTTTGAGAATCAGTACTTTTCAGGTTATCATTACTTTTCAAGGTATCAGCACTTTTCAGAGAATCAATATTTTTCAGAGAATCAATATTTTACAGAGTACCAGTACTTCGCAGAGTACCAGTACTTTTCAAAGTATCAATACTTTTTTCAGAATCAGTACTTTTCAAGGTATCAGTACTTTTCAGGGTATCAGTACTTTTCAGATTACCAGTACTTTTGCTAACCCTACTCTGAGCACAGCGGCCGCCCACCATGCTGTCCCGTACTGAACCCAGACCGTCAGCGACGCCGTTGGACCATAGTTTGATTATTCAGCCGCTAACATCAGCCTCCATCAGCGTTGCAGGGATCTATGGTTCATAGTTATGGAACACAAGCCAGAAACGTACAGCTTAAAGCCTCATTTTCACATTTAGAGAAAAATTAGGGCTCTCTTTGCCTGGTGTTTGTCAGCTGATGCTCCTACCTGAAGTGAGTGATCTGGTTCTCCAACAAAAGAATGAGGCGGCTTCTGACGGCCTCAAACTGCTCCTTCTCCTCCACGGTGACTGTCCCCGTCCCGTCAGGCCTGAGGTCACAAAACAATCAGTCAGCAGAATCTAACCTCCCCTGGTGGCAGGAGACCGTCACAGCAGTGATGTCACACTTTAATGTAGGGGCTGGGCAATTGATCACAAGTGAGTTAAAATCACAATTTAATAAAATACACTTTTCAAAATGAAAAGAGGCAATCAATTATTCAGCTCCATAGGCGGCATTAAAACACTTAACGTTTTTAGCCACAGAAAGAGCTGCAGTCACCATGCAGATCCATGCATGCAAGATGTAAGAACTTTTTCACATAAACTAAAATAAAGCAACAGCGGGTTCCTTTCAAGCTAGCCTTCATAAACTGGAAGCCTGCGATAAAACATCTAAAAGCTTTGGGCTAGTGCAAGAAAATAAAGATAAAATAAAAAATACAAACGCGAAAAGAAATCACAGTAGTGGTGGAAAACTAAACAAAATTAAATTTTTTTGTCAAAATTGTTAAGCCCTACTTTAAAGAAACCTTTAAAAAGCTGCTGTAAAGGAGCACAAGTCTGCCCCCTGTGGCAACAAGCTGAAATGACACCAGCGTCCTTCTGCACATGTCTTTGTTCTGGAGACACCTGGAGGTGATGTCATCATCCGGGTAACAAAGTTTAAATCCCGAGGTCATTTTGAATAAAGCCTCTAACTTGTAAATAAAAACAGGAATATTGCCTCCTGGTTGGAAACTTCTCCAGTGTTTACCCAAGTCTTATTCGTCACCAGTCAGACTTAAAATAGTTCACTTAGTTCACTCTAAACTACAGGTGACCCCCAGGGTCCAGGAAGCAGAACCCCAGCTCCAGGAAGAAGAATTGGGGTGCAGGAAGCAGAACAACAGGAAGCAGAACCATGGTTTCAGGAAGCAGAACAACAGGAAGCAGAACCATAGTTTCAGGAAGCAGAACCATGGTTCCAGCAAGCAAAACAACAGGAAGCAGAACAGGAAGCAGAACCATGGTTTCAGGAAACAGAACAACAGGAAGCAGAACAACAGGAAGCAGAACCATGGTCCCAGCAAGCAAAACAACAGGAAGCAAAAAGACAGGAGGCAGAACAACAGGAAGCAGAACCATGGTTTCAGGAAGCAGAACAACAGGAAGCAGAACCATGGTTCCAGCAAGCAAAACAACAGGAAGCAGAACCATTGTTTCAGGAAGCAGAACAACAGGAAGCAGAACAACAGGAAGCAGAAGCATGGTTTCAGTAAGCAGAACAACAGGAAGCAAAACAACAGGAAGCAGAACAACAGGAAGCAGAACAACAGGAAGCAGAACCATGGTTTCAGAAAGCAGAACAACAGGAAGCAGAACAGGAAGCAGAACAGGAAGCAGAACCATGGTTTCAGGAAGCAGAACAACAGGAAGCAGAACCATAGTTTCAGGAAGCAGAACCATGGTTCCAGCAAGCAAAACAACAGGAAGCAGAACAGGAAGCAGAACCATGGTTTCAGGAAACAGAACAACAGGAAGCAGAACAACAGGAAGCAGAACCATGGTCCCAGCAAGCAAAACAACAGGAAGCAAAAAGACAGGAGGCAGAACAACAGGAAGCAGAACCATGGTTTCAGGAAGCAGAACAACAGGAAGCAGAACCATGGTTCCAGCAAGCAAAACAACAGGAAGCAGAACCATTGTTTCAGGAAGCAGAACAACAGGAAGCAGAACAACAGGAAGCAGAAGCATGGTTTCAGTAAGCAGAACAACAGGAAGCAAAACAACAGGAAGCAGAACAACAGGAAGCAGAACAACAGGAAGCAGAACCATGGTTTCAGAAAGCAGAACAACAGGAAGCAGAACAGGAAGCAGAACAGGAAGCAGAACCATGGTTCCAGCAAGCAAAACAACAGAAAGCAGAACAGGAAGCAGAACTATGGTTTCAGGAAGCAGAACAACAGGAAGCAGAACAGGAAGCAGAACCATGGTTCCAGCAAGCAAAACAACAGGAAGCAGAACAACAGGAAGCAGAACCATCTTTCTAGGAAGCAAAACAACAGGAAGCAGAACAACAGGAAGCAGAACCATCTTTCTAGGAAGCAGAACAACAGGAAGCAGAACCATGGTTCCAGGAAGCAGTACAGCAGGATGCAGAACAACAGGAAGCAGAACCATCTTTCTAGGAAGCAAAACAACAGGAAGCAGAAGCATGGTTTCAGTAAGCAGAACAACAGGAAGCAAAACAACAGGAAGCAGAACAACAGGAAGCAGAACAACAGGAAGCAGAACCATGGTTTCAGAAAGCAGAACAACAGGAAGCAGAACAGGAAGCAGAACAGGAAGCAGAACCATGGTTTCAGGAAGCAGAACAACAGGAAGCAGAACCATAGTTTCAGGAAGCAGAACCATGGTTCCAGCAAGCAAAACAACAGGAAGCAGAACAGGAAGCAGAACCATGGTTTCAGGAAACAGAACAACAGGAAGCAGAACAACAGGAAGCAGAACCATGGTCCCAGCAAGCAAAACAACAGGAAGCAAAAAGACAGGAGGCAGAACAACAGGAAGCAGAACCATGGTTTCAGGAAGCAGAACAACAGGAAGCAGAACCATGGTTCCAGCAAGCAAAACAACAGGAAGCAGAACCATTGTTTCAGGAAGCAGAACAACAGGAAGCAGAACAACAGGAAGCAGAAGCATGGTTTCAGTAAGCAGAACAACAGGAAGCAAAACAACAGGAAGCAGAACAACAGGAAGCAGAACAACAGGAAGCAGAACCATGGTTTCAGAAAGCAGAACAACAGGAAGCAGAACAGGAAGCAGAACAGGAAGCAGAACCATGGTTCCAGCAAGCAAAACAACAGAAAGCAGAACAGGAAGCAGAACTATGGTTTCAGGAAGCAGAACAACAGGAAGCAGAACAGGAAGCAGAACCATGGTTCCAGCAAGCAAAACAACAGGAAGCAGAACAACAGGAAGCAGAACCATCTTTCTAGGAAGCAAAACAACAGGAAGCAGAACAACAGGAAGCAGAACCATCTTTCTAGGAAGCAGAACAACAGGAAGCAGAACCATGGTTCCAGGAAGCAGAACAGCAGGAAGCAGAACAACAGGAAGCAGAACCAGTCACCATGCAGCAGCTTCCCATCACAGCAGTGAAGCGGTGGCTGGATGGCAGAAGGCCGGCTGCTTTCAGAGCACAGCAGTGATATTGTTACCTCCGTGTGGATGACCCTGAACCCCCCCACCTCCATTATAACGAGTGAATCTGCTTAAACTCTAATTGTAAAGAAAAACAAGTCATTCTGTTTACTATTGTCCTCCGTCCTTCTGGGTTTCTAACTCTTCATTTGTTCATATTCGCCAACATTTATCAAACCAAAGCTTGACCTTGTTTGTTAAAAGTGTCAAAAAGTAAAAGTTTGGATTTTCTGGAGGAGCCTTTGTCTGGGAGTACGCTCCAGGAAGCAGGGAGAGCCTGTCAATGAGGTGGATGCTAATTGGGCCAAAACGACTGCAGATTCAGACATAAAGAGGGACAGACGTTAACGTCCACCTCTGAGTCTAAAGTTTCAAACTGGATCAGCAATCATTCAGTGTAAAACATACTGGTTCTGACGGGTACCAGTAGACACTGCTCTCCATAGACACACAGGAAAGCTTTCTAGGAAGGTTATTGGCCAATAAGGTGAAAATATTTGATCACTACTTTTATTTCAGTCAAATGATGAAACAATGAGTGTGAAGTCTGAAGCCTGGATGGACAAACGACGTCTCTATGCTGAGCTTCATCCTGCATCAAACGATGAGGGAAAGTTTCCCTTCGATCTAAACGTAAACCTGTTTATAGACAGAAGGGCGACAGCGTCTGAAACACGGAGGAGAAAAGATGAAAGGAATAATGGAAACCATTTCAAACGGCTCAGGGTTCGTCTTCGCTTTCATTCCCATTCTTGTTTTCGCCAAACAAACCAATCAAGCTGCTACACATTCCATCATGACCTCAGAGTCAACCAATCAAACAGGCAGCGCCTGCGACTCATCTCGCTCCTCACAACCCATCTGGCTGGGAGCAGAGAGGAAGGGAAAAAATGTGGCTTGAATGCTTCATTAATGTTTTTAAATCCTCCGCTCCCCTCTTGCCTTCGTCTGAATAGGCACTCTGGTGAAAAAGGGAAAAAATGCAATCAGTACTCAGAGCAACCAGCCTTGACTTTCTGGGCTTTCTCTGCATGGCTGAAAGAGAAAAGCAGCCTCTCCAAACGGCACTCGCGGCTGCCGGAGGGGAGACGCGCGGAGGTTGTCTTTTAATGAGTTGTTCTTATAAAAGCCTTCAGTGGTGCAGCCTCTGACCATGGCGCCTGGAGTACCAACAGCCGCTTCTGCCGCTGTTCCTGATCTGCCAAATAACCAACATCCAAACACACGCATCAGAAAGTTTGGGACAGTCAGGAGGGCTGAGGGAACTTCCCGTTCCTTCACACCACACGTGTTCCTGTTCTATAGGCGAGCAGAGCAGTTTCATTTGTTCAGATTTATTCAGAATCTGATCGAAACAGAGTCTGCGGGGAAAAGCGGCGCATCGCATGAAACTCTGGCTACAGGTTCGTTTTTCTGGTTTCATTGTTGGTGACATCGACAAAGAAACCAGAAATACGTTTTTACATCACGGCTAAGCTGATCTTTCCAGAAACACAAAATCCTGAACTTCCTAAGATGACGGCTAACAGTTTAACTCCTCCCCCCCAGAAGGGGGCGCACTCGTGCTTACCAGCTCACCTTTGTGACTGTTAGCTTTAGCAAACGTTCGACTAGTCCAGAAAAAAATCAGCAACCTGAACAGGGGCTTCTATGCAAAAAAGAAAAATGGACTCAAACTTTAGTTTAAAGTCACACTTTTAAAAGAATAAACGTGCCAATTTACGAAATTTATAGAAATATAAGAGAACAAGTAGCAAGCTAATAAAAAAAAACCCTGCAAATTTAAGAGAAAAAAGTGGCAAAATTTCCAAGATTTGCACATGTACATTTGCAGAACCATGTGAGATTAAAATAAACGTGAAAG